ACATAAAATGCCCAAAAACATTTCGGGTCTGCAAAAAATTAACGTTAAAAATTGCATTAAGGAGAAAAGTGAATGAACCGTTCCGACAACACGGCTGTGGTGAGTGAGGGGGTGGAGGGAATTATGGAGTGGGCCCGAGGAGAGCTCTGCTCAATTGATGAGTGGTTCGGTGTTGGCTGGGGCCCTGCCGTAGTTTCGCTTAATTATTTTAATTATTTTTATATACCGCCTACGTTTTTGCACTTGGCGCCGCTCGCCGCACCGCTCGCCGCACCGCTCGCCGCGCCGCACTGCAATTAAAACGCTATGCGGCCTGGCCTTCATCATTGAGTGCCCGTCCTCGTCCGCGGCAACCTTTAACCGTGGGGTTTTCCCCCGCATTGGTGTGGAGTGGTAGCGAAATTGGTATGCAAATGCTGGCAGCCCATCACTAGCTTATGGTACTACTAGCCGTACGCAAAATGCTTTGGCCAAAAGCGCTGCAAAAATAAAAACGCTGTGAATATAATTAAGCTGGAGCTCGAGCTGGGGCTGGGGCTGGGACTGGGACTGAGGTACTGTCTGCCTGAGAGGCTGGGGTGGCTGTGTGACTCTACTGATACTAAACGAGTGGGTACCTCTTATGTAGTTGTACTCGAAAATGCAATTTAAACGGCAGTTAGCTGACGGCTGCCCTGAAGTATGCAATGCTTTTTGATACCCATAATACTAGAGTAAAAGCAAATGAATTGAGGAACTCATTGGATTGGCAGCGCTCCTTCGAACACAAGCACAATCACCAACACAAACACAGGAACATGGATACGCACACAATCCGGGCACATCCTTTGATGCTCGACACAAGTGAAAACGACACTACATTAGACGTAGACCAATTAACAAGGCTTTTCCTGTTAATCCTGTTTGTACATTGTGCAAGTCTTCAGTAATTGAAACTGTCGACTGTCTAAGTCCAATTATTGTACAGTCTGCCAGTCGGCCCGAATAGATTGTGTGGGTGTGTACGAGTACGATTACGGGTAGGAGTAGGAGCACGAATATCTGTATCTGTATCCCTGTGTGTGGCCATAAAAATTCTATCTAAATTGAATGCAATTTTATTAGATTGTTGTTCAAAATCTCAATTTAAAGCGTATTAAATCAGCTTCAATGGCACGGAAGAAGTATTAAGAAATCTTGAGCTCAGAGCCAGGAGCTGTTCTTTTATGCAAACATTCCCACAAACACATAAACACATAAACACACACACACACAGTTAATGGCTGTGTGTGTGTACTTCTGATTGTGTGACAAATCTAAACAAATAATGATTTAATAAAGAACACACACACGCAATTCTATTGTGCCATTGATACTATTGTTTTACGGTCTGCTAATCAAAATGAACTGAACTCCGCTCCGCCCCTACCATCTCTGATCTGTTTGGGGACCTGCCTTGCTGCCTTCGAGGACTTTTGAATTATAAATGAGACCTAAAACTCTCGTTTAATATTTAAACAAAATCAAATCAAGGAAAAAAGGAAGGCAGGCTGGCAGGCAACACGAGGCAGCCAAGACAGCCAGTCAAACAGTCAGACAGTCCAACATTCAGACATTCGGTCGGTGCAAGTGGAAACTTGAAAATATCAAATGAGGATGGGGGTTGGGTTGGGCTGAGTTGGGTGGCTGATGGGCGTGCCCTGAGTTGGCGTTTTCCAATTCGAGTCCAACTGTCTGGCTGCGCTCTGGGCCAAGAGCTTACAGTGATGTGGATATGGATGTAGCTGTTGCTGGTGCTGGTGCCAGTGCTGGTGGGTCGCCACTTAAACTAATTTGATTTCTATTGAGGCAAACAAATAATAAATAATGAATTTACATTTCTATGCGTGCTGTGTTGCCACCACCGCCAGTCCTTGCCGCGACTGAGCCAAGCCGAGTCGAGTCGAGCACAAATGCGAATGGATTGTAGTAGAGTGGATTGAAGTGCGACGTGAAGTTGTGCTGCTGCTACTTGCATTATGTGTCAGTTGCTATCCTCCATATGCCAGGACTTAATTGCATCTTCTTTTCGTAATTAGGTGCACTGAAGGCCCAGGAAAAGCTCGCTACCTGATCAAGAACTAAGCGGATTACAGCAATTACCAACGAATTACGAGTATGGGATGCATATGCATACATATGTACATCAGTGGGGTACTTCAGGTACGGCCTTTCAATGGGAGACAAGCCTGGGGTGGCTGAACTTTACTCGTGCTAAGCATATTCTTAGATACTCGCACTTGTTACTCGGTGTATTATATAGTAGGTACTCAGCTTTCTTGAAATTAAGAGAAAACACTTTGACACTCGGTGTCGCGTTTCCATTTTCATTTACTCCGTCTCGACCGACCGACCGACCTATAAATAAATCATGTTCCCGGTAAGAGTAAGTAAAACAAGCGACAGACATGAGTGGGTTGATGAGTAGAACGGAAGATGATTTGAATGTGAAACCAGATGAAGCGAAAAAAATAAACGGCAAGAACCAACATAGGCAGACTGCTCGCTCTCCAAGGTACTGGCATCCTATTGGAAATATAATCATCTAAAAGTTGAATACATTTTGGTTCGGTAAACTGGTTCGGCCTATTCCCCGGACTATAAGTCTGAATCTGACATTGGGTCGTGTCTCTCTGGTGTGGGTCCAGGGGTTTGTCATGAGAGAGTGGAGATGAAGTTATTTACAAATGAGTGGATGGGTTGCTGTCGCTCCTCTGGGGTCGCAACTAAAATACAAGCTTGTCTACACGAATGTGTGTGGGTTGGGGTTTGGGTATTTATTGCTTTGATTCTATGTATATATAGTACATAAATATATGGAGCAAACGCGAAACGAACTGTGCAACGACTTTGCTGCGGCTGTTAAAAATGTACAATAATTTCAAATATGCAAATTTCAAAAACCAAAATCCAATCAAATTTCTCTGTGCGTGTGTGTGCGCACACACCTCTTGTTTGTTATTAGTATTCATCTATTGGTATTTTAATCAACATTCACACACACGAGCACACACACACACACTCACATATAAACAAACACTCATGGTATTCATATTTAAACTTTGAATTGTTCTGAATTGATTTTTTTGTAGTTGTAGTAGTTTTGGTTTCGGTTCTTTTGGGTTTCTGGAATTGCTGGAGTTGCTGTTGTTGGAGTTGTTGAGAATGTTGAATTAAGGAAAATATACATATCATATAAATATTGAATAGAGTTGAGTTATATATTTAGATATATATGTATGTAAATGTTTTGTAATAAAAAATATATATATGGAACAAACAATTTGGTTTCTTTAAACAACAGTCTCGTGTTCGGCTTTTTGCATTTGTTTTTATATATTTACAAAATTTGATTGTTTCGTTGTTGTATTTTGTTAATTATTTACAGTTAAAGTGAAACGGAAAAGTGACACAAGAACCAACAACGTTAACCAAGGGAAAACTCAAAATGAAAATAGATAGAGAGAGAGATAGAAAAACCAAAGTTCTTAACTAAAACTGGTTATTGTTTCCTGTTTTTCTTCTTTTCTGTGGATTACGGGAGTGAGGGTATGGATTTAGCTTTGCTTTGATTTGGCTTTTCTTTTGTTCCGATTTCAATTCAATTCGAATAGAATTCAAGACTGTCGCATGGTTGGGTTCTGTAATTCCGAATCTACTAATGGCTGGCTATGCTACTAGACCTGATTGTTCTTGTGGCTTCAGTTTTGGTTTGGGTTTCGGTTTCGGTTTCTAATTGGGTGCCTGTTGGGACGGGTTAATCTGCTAATCCGCTAATACGCTTGCAAATCGCAACTAAGTAGCTTAATTGGATTGACACTAACGGTTAGATAGGTTAATATTAATATTTGTACGAGTAGTTTAATTTGTATCTTTGTTGTTTATTTTTTATTTGTTGTTTAAGGGAATATGTTGAGGAAAATATACATTTTTGTTGTCATTTGTTTCTTTTGATTGTTATATATATATATTTTGTTGTTAGGTGTACACTTTTAGTTGATTGATCGATTGATTGATTGATAGATTTGATTGCTTTGATTGGTTGATTTGGTTGATTTGGTTGGTTAGAGTGAGTTCGAGATATACAGAGAGAGAGAGAGAGGTAGAGAGAGGACCCTTGCCATGACAAAACGTAAGTAAAGTAGAATTATTTATTCATTTCGTATGCAGAGTAATTGTTGTTTGAGACTATTTACAAGTTTGGTTTGGTTTTTGTTCTTTTTTTTTTGTTTTTTGTTTTTTGGTTTTGTTTTGTATAATTAACCAAAGGTTGCATTAAAAATTAAAATTCAAACAAAATCATACTCAAATTATGAAGAACTATAAAAAAAAATGGAAAAAAAAAAACTTAAAATGAAGAAAATAAAAAACTTATCATAAGTACAAAAGAAATCGATTAAAATCCTGCTTTTGTTTCGTGTGTGTGTTTTTTTTTTTCATTAAAAGAGTGGAATAATTGAGAACGACGTGTTTTCATCTTTTTGCTTTTCAGTTGATCTTTTTGACGGAACGAAAAACTTTTGTATTCTCGTTTTGTGGGTGGTGGTGGTATTGGGGGGTGGGGTAAATGAAAATAGCGCTTAAATCATAAGGTTATGTTAGTCATGTTGGTTAACTAAGGGAATTATGTAAAAAATAGGTGGAAACGATAACAGAACAGATAACTGGTATATTTTGAGATAGCGAGTTAGGAGATAGAGTCTTTTTTGTATTTTCAGTTTAGTTTGCTTGCTTTTTTTTTCTTAACTTATTTTAGAGAGAGAGAGAGAGAGAGGTAGAGAAAAAAGTATAAAATTAATGCTTACAATCATTCATATCGTCATTGGATCTCATTATGTACTGATCCGATGATGATAGTCTTGAATGCCCGTTCGTATTGGGATGAGCTCCCCCCCTATGATCACTTTGTTTATTAGAGCTACGCATCGCCAGTGCAGATGGGTTCGACTGATGCATATACATACTATCACCTTCGCACTCACTTTCTTTATACTGGAGCACATTCGTATGCTTCTCATAGATTACCAGGCAACGATGACATCCTTTCCTAAAAGAGTTTATTGGTTGCAACGAAAAGTTTGTATTTGTATTGTATTGTATAACGGTATAGTATGGATATTAATCATGTTTCATGTTTTTTTCTTGTTTAGTATTCAATTAGTTTTAGGCGGTGTGGTTAGTGTTTTTTTTTTAAATGTTTTAATGTAAGACTAGGAACATCCCTAGGGTGTACTGTGTGCAAAAAAAGAAGGAAACACACACTGAGGCGTCACCCCGCCGCCTACTCTCAAATGTCTTTTGAGTTTATCTTATTCTTATCCCAGAAATGTGGCTCAGACCCGAAACCCGAAACTGTATTCTATACGGATCTGATGCGTATTCATATTTTTGGTTATGTTACTTTTGAATGCAGGTTTCGGGTTTGTTCACATTTTAATATGTTTATCGGTTATGGTTCTTGGAAAAGCGATTACTAGGTTGATGTAATATTTCGAGTATAAGGTAATCAAAATGATCATCAAAACGAACTCAAAGGACGTACACTTAAGAACGCAAAAAACTCACAAAATATATATGTTTTGTTGAAAAGTGATGTTTGAAAAATATCGTAATATGTTATTCATATATTTAAATGGAAAACGTTTCAAAATAAAAAGTTTTGATTTGGGTTCTGTTTTGATATTATTGGGTTTTCGTTAGTTTCCTAGTGGATACGATAGTAGTACGAGTAGATGGCACTCGATATGTTTACGATACTTAATTAAAATATTATCTGATATACGACAAAAAACATGTACAAAATGGAAGGAAATGGAATGGAATCGAGCTGAAGCTGGAGGAGATTAAGGACCTCCCTCCCAGCAGCAGCACCGCAAAAAGGACAAAAACATATTTTTTGTATGCAAAGGAGATTTTTTGGTGGAAGAAAAATCAAAAAACATTTTCACATTTCAGCTACAACGGAAAAACTTAGCTTACGGTTAGGATTATTCATATGTTTATTAAATATTTATAAGCATGAACAAGGCAAAACGCAAAAATTCCGAAAATTAAAACTCCACTTGGGTAATTCATTGCTTTTTGTTTTTTTCTTGTTTGAGTTTTTTCTTATTTTGCATTAAGGAAAGCAGCTTAAAAGGGGTTTTAATTGTTTTTTTTTTTTTCACATTTCTCTTGGTGGGTACACAAAAACATTCATACGGAAGGAAGGCAACAAAAGAGGAATTCGAGTCCGAAGCAAAAGGAATGAGCAAAATGGAAAGCAATTTTCGTTTAAAATTTCTTTGGTTTTCGTTTCGTAACGTTTCAAATGAAAATGCAGTCGAAGGAAAATGAACAACAACAGGCGTAGCAAGCAAAAGTTGCTGCCAAATATTCGTAGTAGAAAGATAGTTAGAGAGAGATTGGGTATAGCAAAAGGCAGTTTTCTAAATTAAAAACACACAATATGTACATACTTGAAGGAGGGGTACGGTGGTACAGGGGGTACGGGGTGTACTGGTACGTAAAAAAGTTTGATTTAGTTTTCAGCACATACATACATACACATCTCTATATATCTATATCTATGGGCAGGATTGGTTGGGTAGTCTGGGTACGAGTACACGACTGGGCTCTTGTCAAACATCCGAATTACGAGCATCGCGCTCTGCCAAGACAGCGCCATTGACATGGAGAGGACATGGCGGCATGGTGAGGCAAACAAACCCGTTTCAAAGGCAGAAAGTTAAGAGCCGAGCATTCGGCAGCAGCAGCAGCAGCTGGCAGGGAAAGGGAAAGGGAACGGCAACGGCGACAACGACAGCGATAAGGTTGACGACAGGTTTTAGATGGTACTCGTACATACAATATGTATGTCTATATGTCTGCATGTCGTTGCCGTCGCTGCTGTCGCTGCTGTCGATGCCTCTATCCTATCCCTTCTCTGTTGGCTTTGTTTGTGTGCTGCTCACTGGCTTCTTTTTAATGAGGTTAGTGCTGCATTTTCCCTCCATTTTCATCACCATCATTGGGGGTTGGGGGGGAAGTAACTGTTGGTTCGGAGGGAGCCTTATACCTTCCACACAGTCTATCAAACACACATTCAACAAACACACACTCAAACACACACAAGCACCTTTTCTCTAGTGAGAAATGAAAACTTATTCAATTATAGGCACTTTTCGACAAAGAAGTAACAAAATACAAAGAAAAATATATATACGATTATATGTACACATGTATAAAATGGATTCTTCATCATCATCATCATCATTTTATCTTCATCTTTTTTCTTCATCATCTTCTGGATTTTTTCTTGATTGCCAGCCAATGTTAAGATATGTTAGCATATTATATTGTTGAGCAGTGGCTCTGGACGGCGGGTACTTACTCATCGACAATCAGATATTTGTTACCATCGGAGGCCGCACACCTGCCGCGATAGCTGAACTGCGATCCCTTGATGTGTATGGACTGCTGATAGCCGGACAGGAACCAGGAGCCCTCCCATCGAGCCGGAAATGTGCAATTTGTGGGAGCTGCAAGCCAAAAAAAAAAAAGAACAAAAATGTCATAATAATTTATTAATAAAAAATTCTCAACTCAACCATTAATACATTAAGATATTATATTCCAATTGACGCCCCAAGGGGCAGCGCCGGGCGACCTCAATTGCGTTCATTGTTCATTTAACAAGAGAGAGTGAGAGGGGAGAGAGGAGTGAGAGAGAGAGCTCCAGATAAGAACCATAAAAGAGCAGCCAAAGCAATCTTTCGCCTGGTAGCCAGCACTCAATGAAATGCGTTTGTATGCACATTTATTTATTATACGAGTAGTACCAGTACTTACAAGTACTTAAAATGTTCATATACCCGTACATACATTCGTATACGAGCTTTGTACGGGGGATATTCCTGTGTGGATATTTACAGATTTAAGCTATTGCTGCTTGGCCACACACTTTCTTCGCCTTCGGTTCGTCTAATTGTATTGTCAAGTTTGGTGCCAAGATTTGTGGCTTTTTAATTTGTAAATTGTTTCAATTATTATTATGATTGTATTTAAGTGCGTGCGCATAAGGGGCCTCAAATTTACGACCCCCCTAACCGACCCTCTGGTGGACAGGGTAGGTAGGGTATGCAACGGTAAGGGAAACGAAGAGAAGTAAAGGCAGGCGCATAAATAAGTTGAACGTTGAACAAGCAAAGCAACCAAAAACGGCTCGTAATAATAATGTCACTCACACACACTCACGGACAGAGTGTGGGGTGGGGTGTGCAGAGGGAAAACTACCAAAATGGCAATTGTGAATATTAAAAAAAAAATGCCTGAAAGAAAAGAAAACTTCTGAACGCCGAAATCTGTATACCCTTGCGTTTCCCCTAGAGCACATTCGGGCGCATAAGTTGAAGGTGGAAATTTCCAATAAGTGAACAGATACATTCGGTTTGAATGATTTTTTTACTAGGGCTAACAATTTTTCTTCAAAAATAGTTTCTTTATATTTTATTATTATTTTAAGGCAAAGGTTTTTAGTGCATCTGCACTTAAAGCTGCGGCACTAGCTATGAAATATATACACTTGAACCGACTTCGAGGTTTCATATTTCTTTAGATAATCCGGAATTTTCATGCTACGATTACACCAATTTTCTTTTTGATGATCCAGAATATGGAATACTCCATGGAATCTGATAAGATTAGTTTGATGCGTTGCAAACATCAGACCAAAATTATAATACCCGCTAAGGGAATAAAAAGGAACATAAAGGAACGAAACAGAGAGCAGAGAGGAGGGTAGGGTGGAGGGTGGAGGGTGAAGCGATTCAAGCCGAGTCAAGCCCAAGTATAGAAAAAGAAACGTAACGGGAAAGTTAGCTAAAGGCATGCCACATCAGGCGGCAGAGAGCGGGCACACATACACACACACACATACATACAGGGACAGAAGTATAAGTACTACTACGAGTATATCCCATACAATAGGAACAAGGATACATATAGAAAATGGTAAAACCACCCTCTGAGCGCATACATACATATAGCTTAATGTTTGGGCACGATTGGCAGTGGCAGGGAGTTGGGCGCTTTAGGGGTGGTACAAGCACAAGCAGAAGCACAGTCACAGTCACAGGAACCGAAACGGAGATGGAGATGGAAATGCTGATGGTGATGGAGGACCTGAGGACCGGAGTCGGACCGAACCGAACCGAACAGCGGCTACGCATTCAAATACAGAGAACTCCCAAGCAGACACGAATGTGCGCACACAAAGTGAAGCCGAACTGAGACTGAGAATGAGGCAGGAACAGAGGCAACATCAACGACAGCGGCAACACGGTGCCGTGCCACACACACACACATTCTTACTCGTACCCATACCCGTACTCTCGTCCTTACAGCGATACACATTTTATTTTATTATTCCTTTCCTTTCTTTTATTTTACTTTTTTTTTTCTTGTTGATTTTTGTGTTTTTTTTTCCCCCCTCTGCTTTTATTTTCCTTTTGTTTTTACATTTGCGGCAAACAAAAGGTACTCATGCGCAGGATCAGCGCAGGAGCAGCGCTCTGAACTCTGAGCCTGACTGAGCCGCAGCTCAGACCTCGAGACCTCTGGCCATAGCTGTAGCTGTAGAGCCGTGGATGTAGATATACTTGTGGCTGTGACTGTGTGTTGTCCAATGACTTGTGCTTTTTACGAGGGGTATTCCACTGCTGCCATTGCTACTGCTCCTGCCATTGCTCCTGCCACTGCTGCTGTTTCTGGCTGTCATAATGCGGCCCCATACGCACAGCGGGGGGCAGATTGTGTGATTGTGTGAAAAGTGTAGCACACTTTGCAGGGCAGCCACCGCCCCGAGCTCGGAAGCCAGAAACCAGAACTTAGTACCCCTGCCCAAACCTCCCCGCCGCTCAGCAGACCCGAGGAATAATTGTTTCGCCAATTTCAAGTACCGTGAATAATTTTTCCAACATGATTCAATACTTTTGCCTGAGTGCTGCACGCTGCTGCTGCTGCTGCTATTGTTGCTGCCACCGATTCCGAGCACGTTGCCCTTCGCCCTTAATTCGCTACCCCTGAAATATGCTGCAGGACGACAAGCATAAGTAAATACGAGCTAAAAGCAAACAGAAAGACACAGACAGACAGACAAGCGTACAAATGCGTATAGACAGTTCGAGGGGATAGGAGAGATACGATATATTCGTATTTGAGTGTGTTTTCCGAATGGATTAGAGTGGGCTCAAAACAGAAAGAAACCAGAAAAAAGTGTAGGAGCTTCGAATGCTTGGGGGCAGAGAAAGAAAATAAAATAAAATAAAATACAGCTGAATTCTGAAAGAGTTATGCGACGCTGAAAATGAGGGGATCCGATCCACATAAACTGACAGTAATCAGGTGCATTAATCAAATAAATCTCGCGTAGCTTTTGGGTGACTGTATTAGGTATTAAGTGACTTTTCCGAAACATTGACACATACACATGTACGATGTACGATCCAGCCAGAGAAAAGAGCACTGAAATTTCTATATTTATACTTAGTTTAGCTAAAAAAAATGTAAATCTGAGCGTGGAATTATTAAAAGGAATACCGCATATTTAACTTAAATATGGGTGTATTTTCTTATATTCTACCATTTTTCTCTAAGTGAATATGAACTCGTAATCAAGGGGTAAGAGTAATGGGGAGTATACAGCGCCATATTAATTATGAATCAATTTCCCGACGCCCTACTCTATCATCATCTTGTCGGGTCGTGGCTGTTCTATTCTAGTCTGTCCCCTCCTGTTATGACTGGCAATTTCCTCGACTGGCAATCGCTCCCAACATACACTTATCTTATCTATCCAGCTTGATCTATAATGACAACTTGAACGCGCTAACAACTCCTTAACCCAATTATAATGCCCACACTTATGGGTGTGCACAATTTCAAGTGTTTCCCTTCTCCGTCGAGTTGTTCGGTTAGAGTACCAAGCCACCGTTACTGGACCTGGGGAGGGAGGACCACCCCTATTGAATGGATTTACGCACACCCCCTCACACACAAACACACACAGGCATAGATATAGACAAATACATAGATACAAAAGTACTGTTCATAGAACTCAAAGAGCATGACGCTTTACCCGGAGACTCATTTGCGTTTGCGTTTTGGGCTGTGGCTCTGGATTTTGGACTTTCGTTTTGCAGCCGTTAAACCAAGTGCCAGAGAGACGGATGGACAGACAGTGCCGGGTGTGTAGGAGGAGGAGTGGGAGCAGGGACAGTGGCAACCAAAATGCTTTTGTCTAACTTGAGTGAATTATGGTCAGCGGTCGGTTGGTCGGTCGTTCGGTCGGTGGTTGGGCGGCGGCGGTTTGTTTCGGGCAATTTCCGTACAATTTGCCATGTTGCATGATGTTGTTGCCGCTCCGGCTGTTGCTGTTGCTGCTCCGCTATATACATATATTGTACGAGTATATATATTTTGTTTTTGTTTTTTTTTTTTTTTTGGGCAAATTCGCTCAGGGAGAAACAGTTGAAACGCATTATACGAACGCAGATCTGCGGTCACAAACTACTTATGGATTCAATTGAGCATGACCGAGGAGTGGGAGGGGTGTAGCAATAGGGAAGCAGAGGGGAGTGGCCGGGGCAGTGGCAATGTGGAATGGGAAGTGGCAAGTAGGAGATAGAGCAGGAGGCATGTGGCAAGAGGTTGCCAGCTGACGCTCTGTTGCCCCGCTACAAATTATGCCTTCAAAATTAAATGAAATGTTTGTGGATTGGGGAATTTCGTGGTTGTGGCACCCGAGAGATGGTTGTTGGGATAGAGTGGGGGGAAGGGGGGATGGGGGGATGGGGATGTTCCTTGGGCGAAATTATAAATTCTTATCATAACGCTACTTATCGCGGCATGCGGCTATGCCTGTGCCTTTGCCTTTGCCTGTGGCCCCAGCTGCACTTTACTTTACTTTACTTACCATCTTGTCGGCCGCCCCAGCCACTGACGGACGTGGCCAGCACCAGCATTAGCAGCGGGCCAAGCCAACTTTTTGTTGACGTCATGCTGTTGCTCCTCGTCGTTGTCCTGGCGGCGCACTTGGAGTGGGTGAGGGTGTGGGTGTGGGAGTGGGAGTGGGAGTCCCCGGATGAGGCTTTGTTTCCATCGCCTTGCAGGAGCAGCTGCTGCCACAGGAATATCAGCCACGTAATGCTGCTGCTGTTGCTGCTGCGGGCAAGTTGCTGGGGCTCTCTATTTTGCTGCTGCTGCTGCTGCCGCTGTTGTTGTTGTTCCTTTTCTCGCTCCAGACTAATATCACCGTTATAGTTAAAGCACCTACATTCATCATACTCATAGTCATTCTCCTCCTTAGTCGGCTCCTCCTCTGCATCATCAGCAGGAGTAGCAGTAGCTGTGGCGTCTTCATCATGCGGCAGCTCTGCGCCAGTTGTGCCCCATGCCACCGTGGCCACCTTCTCTCTTCTTGTCGTTGCTTGCGAATTGTATTCTCTCAATGTTGTTGCTTTTGCTGCTGCTGCTGCTTCAGCTGCTGCACCACCACTGCTGATTGGATTTACCTTGGCCAGTGTGGCTGCAGACGCATGACTTGGTCTTTCGCGTCGCATTCGGTCACGTCGCCAGCATCGCTGGCCCGCCGCCGCGGGTTTCTGATGCCTGTGCTTGCCACATTCCAGTGCTCTGCTGCCACCCACAACAGTTGGCACAACTAATTGCAGCGTCTGTCTGAGATCGGTGCAACCATGCTCCTGCTCCTGCTCCTGCTGCTGCTGCTGCTGCTGCTTTTGCAGGAATTTTCCGGCTCTGGTCGGCGATGGGGCAGAGTAGGAGGACATTGTTGCCGTTGCTGTTCCCGTTGCTGTGGTTCTGGCCGTAGTTGTGGCTGTGGCTGTGTCCGTGGCTGTAGATGGTGTCAAAGTCGACGCTGAAGCATGTTTATCATAATTTTTATGTTCCCAGTAATGCTGACAACAGCAGCTGCCGTGGCAGCTTCTCCTGCTATCGCTCTGGCTCGTCTGGCTATGGCTATGGGTATGGGTATAGGTCTGGGTCTGGCCCCGACTCTGGCTCTGACTGCCGGCCGCAGGCACATGCTTACATGGATAGCAGAAAGGCGGTAAATAGATTAACGACGTTGTTCCTGCTCTCGTCTTGGATGTGGATGTGGACGTGTTCCCGCTGAGGCCAGAACTAGAGCTGGTGCCCGCCGCTATCCTGTCTGCTGCATGCATTTGTTGCCGATGATGATGCTGATGCTGCTGATGCTCCTGGTGCGCCGTATCCTGTGGGGCAAGAGACACGAGACAAGAGTGGAATATTTTATTATTATAAAGTACAAACATGCTGTGTGGCACAGCCAAGTAAATATGATATAAGGTGGCAAAGGCAAGCTCTGGCGACTGCCTCGAATTTGAATTTTAAATAAAGCGCCACCGCATCGTCACTCCGGCAACGAACCCCAACCCCAGCGACTCGACGCATATATAAATAATCCCACAAAATTCATTGTTCATCGGATGGCATCCAAATACAGTTGCCTGCCCCACAAAAAGATACCAAAACTTCCTCGGCGGCGCATTAAAAAGCAATAAAAATAAATATGGGCTCTGGGAAAACCAAGAGAGAGACTCCCAAACGAAATAAAATGCCCGACGACGCGTAAATCAAAAATCACGCGCTATAAAAAAATTAGACAAAATTTATACGCTTCGATATATTGGTATACAAATGTCTGCAGCGCCTCCCCCCGACCATAGCACCATCGCCCCTCATCAGCGCCTCTTCCGCTATTACATTTTCCTGCATTTAGCGCCTCCAGCCAGATAGGGGGAAACCGAAGCGTAGCGAAGCGAACGGAACCCCAATCGAATCCCCTGCCCAAACAACCACTTGAGAGTTTTTCGTTTTGGATTCTTCTGCGTGTGCCCCAAGCGGAAAAGACGATCGTAGACCGACCGACCACCAGCACGAGGGTCAGCCTTAATTTCCATATTGCATGAGAGCTTTTTCAGCCACACTATGAAAATAGATGCGAGTATATTAATTGATCAAAATTAAATTGGTTACATTCATCATTCGTATAGATCAGCGGTGGGCAAGGCTCTGCTCCCAAATACTCCTATTGCTTTCAGATTTGTTCTTCGACAACCGACACCAGCGAGACGCAGAAGCGAAAAGTGCCCGAAAATGCAAAAACTAATACATGGCCTGTGCGTGACATTGCTGATCGACTGGGACTCGAGGCTCAGTCGTGAGAATTCGTCTGGGCAGATCTGGTTTGCTCCCAAATTCAAAAAGCCTGTCATAAATGCTCGTAGCGTGACATCTCACCCGACGAAGAACAGGTGAGGGAGTGCCCAGTATTTTAATCAAGAAAAATATGGCATATTTTTTTTTACTTTTCCAGAACTTTTTCAATGGTTTGTCTATTCAAGGCGCTTCTGTTACCTATCAACAATCTGGAGAGGAGGCGTCGAAGTGGACAGACTGCAGCCATCTGCTGGAACGTTGATGACTTTAAGATTTTCTTCGAACTGTTTAATATTTTCTCTCTCAACTTTTCCAATCGATAATATGAATACATGAATACATTTGAAACACATTTTCATGTAACAACAAGAGATTGTTTAGGAAATTCTAAGAAAGCTTTTACTTATCCAAGAGTCTCAAGAGTCAGCCCACGATGTGTGATGTGTGTCTCATGCATTATGTCACGAAAGTTTCGCTCAAGAATTTAGTATGCCTCAAAGAATCTAAATCAAAAAGGTCGCTCGTCCCCCCAGACCTTCCTAGACCCGTCATGCGAACCCATGCGAGGAGGAGGCTTAATGCAATTTTGATGTTGTGTAAGCGCTCCTCTTAGCCCATCATCTATGCTAATTAAGTTAATTAAAAAGTACCAGCAAAGTATTTGCACTTGGCCAACTTCACTTCACGTCATAATCAAAGTGAAGGCGGCGCATCGAATGGAAAATGAAGCCCAAGTCATGTCAAAATGCTCTTAAAAAGCCAGAGCCCCATTCCCATCATCTCTCCTCTATCTCTATCTCCATCTCCAGAAGGGGCCATAGATGCTGGGGATGATGATGATGATGAGGGAACTGACGATGACGATGGCATACAGTGGAGAGTCTTTATTTAAAAATGAAAATGCTGAAAAAGCTGACAAAAAAAACGAATGAAAAAACGGGGCCAATTATAAGCTTCATCATTAATTTGAATAAAATTAATTTTCCCCCACACACACACACATAGAGAAGGAGAATGCCACAAAAGAAATGTGCCACAATAAGAAAGAGAAATGTTCCAAGAGGAGGGATTGTGTTGGACTGTGGCACAAACGGACTGAAGGACAGGACAGAAGGAGACGTAAACGGAGACGGAGATGGAGGCCAGGCCCGGACCCCCAAAATGACAGCAGACGGTGGCAAATAAAACATTTAGGTGGAATTATAATTTTACTTTGCTTATTTATAATTTACGTTTAAAATGTGAAACACCTGACAGCTAAAGAGAATTTATGTTTGCATGTTTTCCATTAATTTATTTTTCCAAGGCGCGCACGGCGCCCCCTCCCTTCCAAGGAAAAATGCCCAAGACCAACTCGAGACTCGGAACTGCACGAAAATGCACAGAGCCCCGAACAGCAGGGGGTTTTGTGGATGTGGAAAGAAGGGGCACGGCACAGGCAGAGGCACATTTTGCTATCACGTTTGGACTATAAAACAGAAAGAGCCCCTGCTACATCTATAGCTACAGCTACAGCTACAGAGCCCCGTGCTGATGATGTTGTTGATGACGTGGAGCGGCGCTACGAAGCAGCCGCCAAAAATGGCAAACGGTCTACCCAAGACACGGGTAGTCTCAGGCCCCTGCCAGCGGAGCACCAGGCCCCACTCCCAGACACAGCCACAGACACAGCCAGAGACGGAGAACCGGAGCCCGGAGCCCGGAGACGTCTCGACGCAGTGCAAAAAAAACTTGTCAAGTAAATATAAACGAAATATGTGGCACGGCACCCGTTCCGTTTCGTTCTACCATTCTGTTCTCCTTTTACTTGCTTTATTTTATTCCCATTTTATTATTATTTTCGCCCCGGACTGCCTAGAAGAAGATCCCACAGACGCCGCAGCAGCACCAGCAGTGGCAGTGGCAGTGGAAATGGCAGTGGTACTGTGGCAGAACCAGCACCAGCCGAACACATAAAAAATATTTTTATGCAACATTTTTATGATTTCCGTCTGGCTGTGACAGCGCAGCGGCTTCGCCACAAAGAAACATTGTCCGTGTCCCCCGCCGTATACTATACCGGTATACCGGCATCCCATGTCCAAAATATCTCCTGCTTCACCTGCTTTCAATTAAGCGACACTTTTCTTTTATGCGACGGGCTTATTTCTCATTACGATTGCACTGTCCTCTGTTCTCTGTTCTCCGTCCTCTGTTTTCCCCTTTGTTTGCGCTCAATGCTCATTTCTTTGCAAGAGATTCCCCGATTCTCCGATTCGGAATTGAAATTCGGAAATTGCGACTGTCTGCTGCAGGGGTTGTGGCTGGTGTGTTGACGGCCTGCTGATGTTTCTTTCAAAAGGAGGTCCGTCGCTCCCTGTGCTCCCTTGTCTCACTTCATCAATCATTAATTTCGTTTATTTTTAGTGAAAATAATCACTTTGGGCAACATATGTGACCGAGCCACAGCAGCGTTTCGCATGTGTTTGCCGAATGCCATGGCTCCGAAGGGGGAAGGAGAATTGAGCTGAACGACAAAGAGTCTGGAAGATGCGCATGGTCCGAAACACCTCCGTGCAATTATCAAATGGACTATTATCCCGGTCCCACACCCAAACCCAAACCCAATCCAAATCCCTGGGCTGCGTTGCGTGTATTGTTGCGTTCGGTTGGGTTAATGTGTGTGAAATGACTTTATTGGTTTTCAGGTGGCATGGTGTGGGTCTGGGTCTCTGTCTGGGTCTCTGCCTCTGTCTATAAGTTTGGGTTTGGGTTTCGGTAAATGATGGCCTTGCTATTATGGACACATGTGTATCGAGTGCCAAGGGCGGCCAGACTGGGGTTAAGTGCGGCTTAGATGGGATAATAACGCAGACATTCAAAGAGCTTTGCCAACACAAAACAATTGTCTGAACAATTTGTTCATATCTGATATTTAGTGGTAGATACTTTTGTATTTTATATGGTCTAGCTCCCCATTTTATATCCACAAAATCAATTTAAGAGTGAACTTAAGAGGAAGGATTACATATATCTAGATTTATATCTAGTAACCAACACAGTTCCATTAGCACTACAATAGCAGGACAATACACAATCATTTGTGGCGAATTCGTGGCTTTGTTCATACCATTCACAAGCAAGTGAAGCGCAAGTGTCCGTTTGCTTATGGGACATTTTGCGCAGCGAATCAACGTTACTTTTGTATCATTCAACGAATGTAAAAATGTTGTCATCGTATTTGCATTTCAGTCGTACATTCATATGTAGTAATACAAGATGATGACACAGCTGTCCCACCGGATACCCACCGTACTGTTTGCATTCATAACTTTATCGGGCATTTGTCAGGTTTTTGCACAACGAACGCTTCCACAGAAGTGTTGGAATCTTTGCTCATTGCAGTGACTAAACCGCCTTTTGCTTATCGCTTTTCCAGTGCAACATACAGTACTCGTATTACTATACCATGAACAAAAATAGAAAATTCTCATATCAAATCCACACACACAAAAACACACACAGATACAGATGTATACATAGATACAGAGTACGCACAACTTTCCACACCCAAATCCCACACGCACCTCGAGGTAAATTAGTCAACAACTCCGTAGTGAAAGAGGCGGCGAGAGGCAGACAGAGGCAAGGCATACTCAGAGCCTGAGCCAGAGCCAGAGCCGGAGTTCCGTTCCCGGGGCAATTCTCCTAATGCAATACATTTCCGCTATGCTGCGGGCTGCGGGGTTGCTGGTTTGCCTGGGCGCTGCGCTATCGGTTGAATCATGCATACCAACATGATTTTTATCTATATGTCGATAACATAAATATGACGGAATTGACGCGATGGCTGTGTGATTGGGGGGATGGGGATGGAGATGGGGGTATTCGGGGCCCTGGACAGAGTGCAATTGCAGTGGTGCGCGCACCTCATTGAACTTTTCAGACAAACACAATTTGTCCGATAAGGAAAAAACGTCTACACGACACCCGGGACGAGGCGGCAGGCAAACGAGGCTAGGCGGAAGGTGTATGTGTGTCTGTATGAGTGTGGAGTGTATAGAGAAGGGGTGGCTTGGTTTGGAGGCGGGGTTGAAGCGGCCGGTCGAACGGCGCGCGCACTAATGGCCACCATTAATAATTGAAAAACTGAAACAGTCGGAGCATGTGAGGAGTAACCGGAGAAGGCAGAGTAGAATGGAGGCCCCATCGTGGGGGGTGTGTAGATGGAGATACAGATACAGTGATGATACACTGAGGTGGAAAGGTGGAGGGGATGGCTAGGGGTCGACAAAAATCTATAACCAAAAAAGTTATGAATAAGCGAGTGAGTCCAGAGAGGAGAGGAGGCGAAGCGAGAGCAGGGCCCGGCCCGGCCCGGCCATGCCAGGCCAGGCCAGAGCACGAGAACAGAGAGTCAGTCGAAAGCTACAAACCTGTTCTATGTTGTTTTCGTCGTTGTTGCTGTTGTAGCTTCTGCTGCTGTTGCTGCTATAGTTGTAGTTGTAGTCCATGGCGACTCCAATGGGCTGCTGCGAGGCTGCAGCGACGTCGACAACGACACGGCGACAATGTTGAAGCTCCTCTTCTCGTTCTCCTGGTTATACTCGTTCTTATTGCTGCTGCTGCTGCTTCTGCTGCTCCTTGATGATGATGATGAAAATGCAGCAACGTCCACGTTCAAGTCCAAGACTAAGGGAATCGCGTGCGAATCGTAGCCAACCAGCATTGGAAAAATTACAAAATTCCCTCTTCGGTTCCGTTGGCTCTGCTCTTGCTGGGAAGTTTGGAGTTTTTGTATCTGTATCTGGCTGTATTGTTGGTGTGATTTTTAGACGAATTTTCCGCTGCAGGCCAGCAGCCAGAAGAATCGCAAGCGCGCACGAACCGAAACTGAGACTGAGACTGCGAGTGAGTCTGGAACTGTGACTGCCAGCAGCTCGTGGGTCGTGGCTCGTGGTCGTGCAGCAGGGGAGGCCACACAATATTGGAGCAAGGTGTTTCCAAACACACAGAGAGACCGAAACGAAACCGATGGCAAAATTCTCGCCGTGCGCTGAACTGCGCAAAAGCAGTCGAGAGCTGAGCTAAAGTTGCTGCTACTGCTGCTGCTTCTGCCGCTGCTGCTGCTGCTGCTGCTGCTGAGAAGACATTTTTGTTGGGGCTAGCATGCGAAGCTCCACCACCGTTTGCACTGGCTAGATTACGTCTGCCGCTGGGGGCCGTCGCCGCCGACGCCGCCTGCTCTCTGCCTGCCCGCCTGCCTCTGTGTCAATCGAATTAAATGGAGAGCAGCAAACTGAGTAATTGGGGTTTAGGTTTTTTTTCCACAGCTAGACAAAGTTCGGTTTCTTTTGCACATTTATTAATTGAACGAATTGAAGGAGATAAAGTTGTTTGTTGTTTGCTGGAAAACCACTCGGGGAACACGCAACGCGACACACACACACTAGCACCACTGACAGACTTCGTGTTTTTTTCAAGGTATACAAAATTCTGCACACCACACAGTAGTTTTTGCAGTTTTCTGGCTGTGTTTTCTTTTCCAATTGAACTTCGTTCTGGCGTGGCTTGGTCTGGCTGGGAAAAACCTTGAACTCCGCGTTCTCGGATTCGTTTGGCGTTGCAAGGCAATTTGATTTGCACCCGATTTTCACTGAATAGTCGTTTCTCTTTGTTTTATTGAATTTTCTTTCGACCGACGACGCGCTCTCACGGACGGGACGGGCCGAGCACAGAGCGATACACACACAGCGGAAACTTCTGCTGCAATACACAAATTTCTTTCTTGTTTGCAGCGCCAGCGCGCCGCGCACACCACCTACGAGAGCTAAGAAAATAGTATCTATGGGATGTGTGTATCTACGCGTTACGCGCGAGATACGACCGCTCGGTTCGATTTTTGAAAAGAGAATGACGACGACGGCGAGAGTCTGATAAAGATAGGGATAGAGAGAGCGCTAAAGAGAGGGAGTGGTTATCGATAGACGCTTCCCACCACCTAAAATACATAGTTTCTGCTGCGTGGCTTCTTAATAAATCATTTAATAATAATAATAATAATTTAATAATAAAAATAAACCGCAAAATTAAACACATTCTAGGAGTAAAAATACTTACTTATTTTTTACCTAAATTATAATTCAAACTGTATATCGATAACACTTTTTAACGACTAAAATCGCTTCATAAACTTTGTGGGAACAGCAATTGGCTCCAAATATCTCTTTGAATCCTAATGAGCACTGTATGTGCGTAAACATAATCGAGGGAAGCCAATTCCATTATAAGGAACATTTCCGTTAAGTTTTCTCGTTGTATTTGCCTCACCTCCGATTTGACTTAGTCATGTTTGTTGACAAAACACACATACTAGTGTATGTACAGTGAGCGAAAAAAGTTTACGGAAAGCTCTTAAATTATTATATGCAGTCCAAAAGCATGATCACTTGAAAATCAAAATAAAGTCCATGATTAAAAGCACTCAATGGCAAGGGATCAATTTTTCTCTTTTCATTAAATATTGTACATACATATGTATGTATGTATGCTAACTTTGTTAACTTACTGTGAAAGTGGACGAGTGAATGGTATACAAATGCGTGCAATATCAGATTAATATGCCGCTCTTAACGAATTTATGAGACATACTCTTCAAGATGCTTTTGAATGCTGAATCAGCTTTCTTGTCCACTCCACACTTTGCCTTGTTCGACTGTCCCATACCGATTTTTATATACGAGACCGCACAAAGTTTACACAAGGAATTAGCTGGGACTGGTATGGTTGAGATGCTGTATGCAATATCAATTTACGGACTGCCACAGAAAAATAACAAAGGCTTGTTGATACAAACGTTACTGATATCCCCCAACATGGGAGTTCGAGAGGACTGACAAATCTTTCTACAAAGAACTTCAGTCATAACCGCAATGCTGCTAAAATGAACAAAACAAAAGATTACGCTCGGGGTTCTAAATTTGATATGGGAATCCCAGCAGAAAGAAACTATAAATATTTAAATATTAACCTACCTTTTAATTTATAGATATGTATGTATTTCCATAAAAATAACTCCTATAGAGACATTTTATGCGCTACATTGAAAAAGGATTCTTATTACAAAATCCAAATTGTTTCCTTTGTTTTAGATATGTCTCGAACTGGACATAAATATACATACATATAGGTACATCGAATTACAGATGAGAAAGGAAGATTAGAATCAGAAAATGGAATGAAATCACTAATGGCATAAGATATAAATTAATAAACTAGTGGTACGTAGAGCCTGTGCTACTTGGAGCTGGGAGACTCCTGCTCTGGCTCTGCCGGCTCCTTTTTCCTATCATTTTTTTCCTGATGATGGGCATCGTGATTGTGCTGCTGGTTCTTGATGACCAGTTCTCCAGTCGTGGAGCAGGTGATGATGCGAGCAGCACAGCGCAGATAACGATTTCGGGCACAGAGCCAATAGGTTTTCGATCCGCGTGAGTTGTTCCGGTAGTACTCGTATCCGCCCATCAGCAGTTTGGGCTTTCCTTTGGTGCCCTTGACAATCATGATTCCTCTCTTACGTATAATCTCTGCAAAATAAAAAATGTACGACTGATCAGTTGGGATCTTAACAAGAGAAATCTACTAGACTATGGTAACATATTCCATTCGCGATCAAATACATTAATTACCTGATTTATATCGCGAACTTCTTAAACATATGTACACATTTATAACATTATAACTTATAACATCTTATTTTTAAGATTGTTAATAGCTTTATTTTCATTAAATAAAGTATGGATATCCTTATTTGTCTGCTCAAAACTAACAAGAGTTTTTTAAACAATAGATACAAAATATAATGAAACACTTTCAGGCAAAGTTTACAAAAAAAAAAAACTATTATAAATATCGTTGCTCCTGGATAACCTAGATCAACTGTGAATGGTTAGAAATGCAAGCAAAACGAAACCAAACTAATAATGTTCCATTTTATTTGCTATTTGTGGAGATTGAAAAGAAATTGATATGGTTTGTGTGTCACAGATGCGAATGCTTCGCAAATTTAATACGGTACACCTCTTGGCCGCTCTTCAGCGTTGTTGTGGCCCGTACCTTGCATTTGGCACTCCGATAGCGGGCACAGCGCCAGTTGACGCTGTTCTTCAGCTTGCGATCCATTACGAACTCGTGATTGTCGATGATCAGTTTCAGCTTCTTCTTACGGGTGCAGGTATAGGAAGCCAAATGTGAAACTTCTGAAAGAGAGAATACATCGGATTAGTGGCAGTGTCTGGGTTCAGGTGGACAATGTGGGTGTGTGTTCAAAGGGGAACTAACTAGTGTTTGCATTTAGGGTTTATTAAGTATCAATTCGAACTGAGATCAAAGCATACAGAAAGAGCTTAAGAGTACAAATCTATTTAGATCTACTTCAGCCGACAGGCAGGAGCTTGACCGGTTGCCTGCGGCCGTTGGCTGTGGGGGCATGGTTATGCTTGCTCGCATGGATAATCTGTCCCCGTAGTGTGTGTACCCGACCATGGCACTTGATGTGGGTGGTGTACTGTGTGCAACGCCAGTAGATCTTGTCGTTGACGGTCTTCTCTCGGACATAGGAATAGTCTTCGTGCTGCAGCAAAATGCGTCCCTTCTGGCTCACGCTGTAGTCAAGCTCTGAAATGAATAAAAGTAAAACAAATTCGTAAGTATAAAATGGTCGATAAATTAAATGGGGATGCGGTGGGGAGAAAATAGATTTTCGATGAGTTTTTCGTTTTTGTTTTGCCTTAACACAGAATTTAGTTTCGTTTTATTCTTAATAATTGATGGCTTTTCCGCTTTTTCAAATTTACACATAATTCTACGCTCTCTCTCTCTATCTCCGTCTTTAGATGGACTCATGTGTCAGTTCCTGCAGTTGCTGGACCTCCTCCTCGTGGAGATCGAAGCCGACGGCGTTCTCAATCTCACAATCTATCTTGGCCATCATCTGGCGTGGCTCCCGCAGCGTATGCACCTTGCTGGAGCTGTACTTGTTGCGCTTCAGCTCTGCGTGCATGTGCTCCGCTTTGGCAATGATGAACTTGGGGGGTGACTCCTTCAGCATTGTGATGCGAGCGGGACACTTGAGCTTCTTCGTGGCCATCGAGCTGCAGCGCCACAATATCTTTTTCTTGTTCTCACTCATTATCAGGAAGCGTATGCCGTTGGCCATGATGGCGGGTCGCCCGCGCAGCGATTTTGTGAAGAAGACAAGAACATCCTCCGGATTGGGCACCTCATCGTTGGCCAGCACAACTGCAAAGGAAAACGTAAATGCAAAAATGGGGATTAGTGTCGGTGGAATGTGCCATTTTGGGAGCAAAACACAAAAGTAATTGGACAATTCGGACGCTCCTCGTTTGCACTCGGTTTAAGTTTCTTAAGTTTTTATTTACAGCTCAAAGATGGCCATTCAGATATAGCATGATAGATTTAGCACTTAAATTACATAGTGAACATATCCGCCATGCTCTCGGGCAGACTCCTCACGCTGGAAACCACAGGCGTCGTCGGATCCTGCTTCGACTTGCGCTTCGGCCTGATGTGACGGTGCTCGTGTATCTGGCGGAAGTCCCTGATATTGGTCTTGCTCATGCAAATGAGCACGGGACAACGTGTGGGCCGGTAATACCAGTGACAGCGCCAGTACAGATTGGTCCGATTCGTGTTGTTGCGAAAGAACTTCATACCGTCCAGCCAGAGCAGCTGCCCGCCGCGCTTCGATACGGTGAACTGAATGTTGGGATGATTGCCCCTGTATTCGCCTCGGCCATGGATCCAAACTGGAAGCAAACGAGAAAGCAGTGATACATGTTAGTACGAAAGCTGTGAGGGTTCTCAGCGGCATAAACTGTGGGACACAAAAGATTACATTTATCGATGCGATTCAATTATTAAAAGACGACTTGACATTGGTTTCCTTTAATACACAGAATTGCACACGCTTATCAACTAGGTAGCTAAGATTCTATATTCCATTTAGAAGTCAAAGCAGGTCTTCGATTTGAAATTTCGCAGCGGCGGCGGTGGCCGCGAAGCCGTCGCCTTTGGCGGTGACAAATCGGGTTCGGGCTCCGAATTGTGCTTTTCATTGGCTGCCTCTGAATCAGGCTGCCGAACGGGCTCTGGATCGGGATCCCTATCGGTCTCCACATCAGTTTCCCTGTCGTTCTCCGGATCAAGCTGCCGTTCGGTTCTATCATCAAGGTCCTGCCCATCTGATTCTCGGCCACTGGCCACTGCACTGGGCAGCGGCTTAATCTCAATATCATTGCTCTCCATGTGCTGGTGCTGGTGACACAGACGCAGTATCAGCGTGGACTCGTCGTGTATGGCTATGGCGGGACAGCGTTCTTTATAGTAGTTGCGGCACTTCCAGTACTGCAAATTGCCACGCTTCTTGTTGCGAAAGAATCGAAAGCCATTGATGACCAGCAGCTTGCCGCCGTTCTTCTTGGAGTCCGCAAAGTCAATGTGAAAGGCTGTGGATGAGAGAGAAGAGCGCGAATTAGTACCATACCAAGTGATGCACAGCAACAGAAAGACTTAGCCTAGGCTTAGACTAATTCCACATCGAGTTAGGGTTCAACACAAATTGATTTATTTAAAAATAGAGCTAGTCCATTCACCAGACAACATTTGTGCTTTGGACAATTAATCACTTAGGTGCTAGGTAGATCGCCTTTCCCTCTTGATCAGCTTGGGGGATATTGTCGAGCACTCCTCCAGCATGGACAGCTGCTCCGTAAGGCTCTTTTGGGGAAATTTGCGACTGTGATCGTGGTCAAAGCTGCACTTGATGACACGCGATTGGCCATTCTTGTCCAGTTCGGTCACAACTCTAGATCGACACACAGTCACATCCTGTGGGTTAGACAGGCAATTATATCATCATGTACTCCCTGCAGCAATTATATGTGTGGCAATACGCACCTTTTTCGAACAGATCCAGTAGGTGCGCGTGGCCGAGCTGCGATTCTTAACGAACTTCTCCTCGTGATGCAGCAGCACAGTCCTGCCCCGTTGTCCTTTTCCGAAAACGGCCAGCTCTGCAATATATTTAAGAATTGAATTAGTAAACGATATGGAAAGGCTTCTTAATTCAATGTATGATTTCTTTCTATGCAAATATGAGAGGGCGGGGCGCAATCGAATCGTAGTGCGAGCATTCAGTAAGTTTATTTGATCATTTTATAAAAGTGCGAGTTCTACAGATGATTATGTACGCCCGAAATGCCCACATAGGTGGGCTTCTTCTGGTGTGTTATCATGTGGGCGCGGCAATTCTTCTTGCAACAGGCCCAGTAAATGTTGTCGTTATAGTTGGCCCGACGCGAGTAGCGCTGTGCGGCGTAGATCAGAATTACACCGATCTTTGTGCGCTCGTAACGCACGCGATCCCAGTCGTCCAGCGTGCGTACACATTTCTGCTTGGGGGCCAGGCCAACGCGCATACCCTGTGGGCCCGAGCCCGAAGTCCTGGGCAAGAAACTCTCATTGCCATAGTTGCCCAGCACAGTCGGATCGATCTCCACCAATGCTGTAAAAAAGATTTAAAAAAAAATAAATAAATAAAAAGGAAAACAAAATCTATTTACATTAAAACATTAATTAGCATTTTGAAAATAAAACGACAATGGCACATAGATACAAAAAAAAGCATTTAATTTTGATTTAAATATAAATTAATATCCAGCAACCACAAAAGCCTTCAAACAGAAATGAAAAATTAAATTAATATGCGATTTTAATGAAGCTATTGAGGGGGAGCACTCACCTGTCTGCCAATATACAAGTGCAGGCTGCAGGATTGTTTACTATATGCAATTGAACTAGAGTTAAGATTTAAAGTATTTATTGGAAATAAGCTACTATTAGTCTATTTATTCTTTAGGATAATGCTGTGCTTAGGTTAAACAGTCACTCAGCTGCCACAGCTGTTTAAAACTACGAGACTATCTCCGTTACTAGTGATTGTGCACACCACTGATGTCGTAGCGCGACTGTCCGCTGGGCAAGACATGCGTTATGATGCGTGAGCGGCATTGTTTGCGCCACTTGCTGCACTTCCAGTAGACTTTGTCCTTGTAGGAGGCATTGCGTAGATAGCGATGTTCGCCGCAATGAAGGACACAGTTGCCGGCGGGTGTCTTGATGTACTGCACATCGCTCTTGGCGAGTCGAACGCGCTTCACAAGATGCTGTGGCATGTAGGATCGCCTCGACACGTTAACCACCCCAAAGGGCACTGAAAAGTGGAGGAAAATTTCACAGATTAGTGTAATAATTCGATGACTTATTTATGCTTTAACTTCTGGACGCTATCGGTTTCTGCATTGATATAACAGCTTAAGTATACGAGTATTAATTTTATTTTAGACATTATAAAGTAATCCCTAATTTAATGTAATGGCTAATGGCTGAGCTGAGGTTCGCTTCGTTTCGGTTCGACTTATTGCAGCTGTTGCAAATCCTCGATGCTTAGATTGAGCGAACGCAGCTCCAGCGTGAGATCCTCGTTGTGCGTTTCCGTTTTGATGTAACCGGACAGCGGTTTGCCCGCCCTGCAGCGCACCTTGGCCAGCGGACTAATCAGGGACAGGCGCTTCTTTCGCTCCATATTCTGGCAGGTGTGATGGCACGACTCCAGCACAATCTTGTGCACGCCATCGACCACATTGGTCACAACGCGAGCATTGCACTTTGTGCTGCCCTGCATTGAAAACAGAGAGAGAGAGAGAGAGAGAGACAGTGAGAAATGTTAGCGCACCTACAATAATATCAGGGTTTATAATAAAATAATGAATTAAATGGAATATAATATGGCAAGAGCATTGTACGGGTGGGATAGACTCACTCACCTTCTTGGAGCAGATCCAATACGTTTTCAGATTGCTGCGACGATTGCGCACATAGTTATGGCCGTTGAATGCCAGCAGCTTGCAGCCGCGCTGTCCTCGGATGAAGGTGAGCAGGCTGTGCTTAATGATGCCCTTCATGTCGTCCAGATCGGAATAGTCTGTAATGAATGCAAACGTGTGTTTAGTTGGGCTATTTAGTTAGAAGAGAAGCAGCAGGCGCACACGCGTAAGCACAAAATACAATTTGGTTTCTTGGGGCAACTCTTTGTATTATCTATTATAAATATATATTTATTTTTCTATACATTTGCGGGGGTGCACCCGGGTTTCGGGAGGGGAGGATGCATGCTGAATTAGAGCTAGGTGTACGACTAGTAGGGCGGATGGTTGTGCTCATCGCACTTGATGGTCACATCGTGATCCAGCACGGTCACCACGCGCGCCTTGCACTTGTGGGCGCCAGCCCGTGCACAGGACCAATAAGTCTTCGAGCCCGTCGACTTGTTCCTTGTGAAGGTAAAATCGCCAATCTTCAGCTTTCTGCTGCCGCGAAAGCCCGTGATGTACGAATAGTATGAGACGGCATCTGCGAATGGTAAGGAAACAAAAAGTGGTTAGTACAATGAACCTCGGGGCCTGGGATAACAAAGATCTTATGCCTAGAATGCAACTGAAACTAGGGACAACTTGGCTAACTTGAGTTTTATTAAGGCTGAAGTGTACATTAACTTAAGACTAGTCGGCTAAGTGGCTGCCGCTGGTGTGGCGAGTGGATCTGTTTTCGGTTCGGGCTGATCCTTGCTCCGATCAGCACGGGCGGCCGCCTCGGCCCGCTGCCGCTTCAGAGAGCCATATTTACGCGCCTTTGAGATGACCTCGTGGTTGTGCTCGCTGTTCAGGATCGTAAGGGTATCCGATTTGGTTTTGAGCCGCGCCCGACATCTCAGCACGGCAAACTGAAAGTGCAAACAAATGAAAACCATCGACAAGAGTTCTGGCTTGGCAGTGGAGGCTGTCGAAAACACTCACCTGGGAGCAGCGCCAATAGGTGACATCGTCGCGGCAAATGTGGCGATTGAAGGTGTGCTGTTTGAGCATGATCTGCCTGGTGCCGTACTTGCTGACGATGAAGAAGGGCGTGTTGGTGCTGACACCAGCACCGGCCAACGCCGAGCCATTGCCCAGCTCCATGGTCGTCTCGCCCACATCCACGCTAATGTGATAGTCGAACTTTGCTGGAATGGTAAGACGGAGGGAGGTGCGCGAGTTAGTTGTCTGACTGCTGGCTTTTGTGGGGTCGGATTCGGATCGCAGCCGCCCCTCTCCTCTCCAATGGGAAATAAAACACTTGTGGGCTTGATTTGTCAATTGTTTGGTTTACATTTGGGCAATAAGTTTACTGTCTAACAATGGGTTGCAGTTAAATCTAGGGCTAGGTCTAGGTCTATGGTGTATGGTGGAAATAGGGCTAGGGCTATATTATACATTCAGATCCTTGTAACACTAGCCACTGCAGTGCGCGGCATGTAAGTTGTGCTTGGTAAGGCGCGGCTTGCGGCTGAGCTCCACCAGGACATAGTGCGCCTTGCAGTTGGGCGTCAGGCAATGGTAGTAGGTGCGGTACTGCATGGCGCGGGTTTTCTTGTACGAGCGTCCGCTTATCATCAGAAATTCGCCCGAGGACGTTCGCTTGAACTTAACTGCGTCCTGAGCGGACGATGCGGACGAAGCGGACGATGCAGTTGATGCTCCTGCTACTGGGAAATGATTGGAGATTCAGATGGAGAGGGTGAAGGATGAGTTGGGATTATGAGATGGGAGCTTAGGCTAGGACAACTACAACACAGCTAAAAATCTACAAATATCGATTTGTTCTGTTTTTGTTGAATCTCTCTTTAATATTGCGTCGAAAAGTTGCCCTGAAAAATGAGCTTGGCGGGCACATTGTTGCCAGTGAAGCGGGGCGGATGGTTATGGTCATTCCTGCCCAGCTTAATGCCACCCTCCGTCTTGGTTATGGCCCGGGCCGCGCACTTATTCTCGTTCAGCCGCTTCCCATTGCCGTCGGAGCATATCCAATTGACGCTGTACTTGAAGCTGGCCTCCTTCTTGTACATGTACCCGTTGAAGACGAGATTGTAGCCCTGCTTCTGGTTGCGCATAAAGAAGTATGGTATCTTCTCAATCCAGGTGCCCTTCTGCAGCTCCGCCACATACTGGCCCATCGTGGCTGCAATGGAATAAGGGAACGATGGGCAACATACATAGAGTGGGTGCATGCTTAGTGCTACAGAATGTCCAATCACCGGATTAGCATCTTAACCAAGAGAAAAACACACACACAGAGCTTGGGGGAATCAAATGGTTTATTGTGGAGTAATCTACTAACATTGCTTATGATAAATAAAACACTAAAAGTACACATGTAAGTATCCATGTAGGTATCGCGCGAGTGGCAAAAGGAGACTCACCTGGTGCATCTGGTGTCCCGCCATATTTTAAGCATCACCAAAGTATGCGGGACACGGGGTAAAATGTGTGGATCAGAACATTTCATCTTTAACTTTCATTTTCAGCTCATTTTTGTAACTTTTTGCTGTTACTTGATGCCACATAAAACAACAACAACTGACACTTTGTGCTCGCTGCACGCACACGCAATACACACACGCTAGCACCCAGGCACATACACACGCTGTCATATCCACAGGACAATTAAACACACATTTTGCACTCTCTACATTTCCATTGCACTGGCAAACATTTGCCGATTCTCTTTTACACATTTTTGAGGTAGTTGAGAAGCGATTAACTAATTGCTTTAGCACAAACAATCCAAACACAAGCGAAAACCACGGCGAAAAAATTGTAAAACAATCCAAACACCAAGCTAGAGGTGTCAAACCACCGAGGGCACTATCGATAGTATCGATGTTTTAGTGCTAGCCTCTACTATCGACGGTTTTGCGACTATCATGATAGTATCGAGCTACAGTCGTTGAGCTTTTGATGTTTGGATTGACTGCTATAAAATACGAAGACACATTTGTAAACAAATCGACAGGTGGCATCTAATTTTTACAATGGACAAGTTCCTAAAAAGTTTCAATGGTTTTATAATTATTATTTGAGCCCCAAACTATTACGATAGTATCGATTTTTTTTTTCAAAATATTCAACGTGTTGATATTACTCGATTTTGATATTCAGTTTAATATTACTAGCTAGTTGGCCCTTTCAGCCCTAAAAAAATAATTTTATCCGATAGATACATCCATTTTCTACAAGATTAGCTAATTTTTAAAACTCCTGCTTATTGCATTTTTTACATAATAAGGCTCAAACAAAAACGGCCAAAGCATAAAACGAAAATGTTGACTAAATGTGCCGTCAGTGTTGCTACTCAACCAAGTTTCTTTTATGCGTATGGGCTTTTGTATACCCTATTTCCTTTAATTGCTGTTAAATTTGTTGTTCCAAGCTCCTTTGAAACATTAATATTGTATTTTTCTTAAATTTAGATGTTTTTTAACTATTAATGCATATGTTTTGTGTTTTATATATTCATTTAGCCCGGTTCTGATACCTATTATTGGAACCCGTGAGCTGCAAAATTTCGTTAATATCTTTAAACAGAGACTGAGTAGTTTCTGCATTAATTGGAGCCTGAAATTACAAACAATATCTAAAGTCCATAATATCCATTTTCCTAAGGTATGCAGATTGCTGCTCATTTCGTGCCAAAGTTGCACAACAATGCTGCCTCTTCATTTCCCCATGTTGCTGAATTTTTTCCCATACAAATCAAATGTATCTTACGGGAACCGTATGGAACGTCGCAACAATGAATCTTCATTCCATACGGCGTTCCCGTAAGATACATGTTTCTACATGTTTCTGAAAAGAGAGATATGGCGAGCCCTTAACAGAACAGAAACAGAATGTGCTGCTGTGCTCACTGTTAATAACATGTACTATCGGTATCAATAGGTTTTTCGATATTTTTACGGTATAGTTTGGTATATTTCTAAGGTGTATTAATTTTAATTTATTTTTTTTTTTTCCAATTGAATAAATAAACTGTAGAGCCGTCAAACGATTGATAGTTAAACAGGGCTAAGCTAATTTTTTTTCTCGGCATATTTAAGGCATAGTTCCAGTCACATTCGACAAAACAAATCAAGTGAAATATTTATTTTTGAACCCTATTATCTAAACAATCCCATTAAAAATAGTTTTGAAAACTAGCCAATCCTCAACAAAATTCAACTATCTAGTCTACTATCTAGTAATATTAAACTGAATATCAAAGATGACGAATTTCATATCAGAAAATATCATGGTATAGCAGCCCGCAGCAACTACGAATTGCACGAGTCTGGCAACGCCACAAAAACGACGTCACATTCGTTTTATGTTGTTTTTGTTTGAACCTTAATATGTAAATAATCCAATAAAAAAGACTTCTGAAAACTTTCCAATCTGAGAGGGCCAACTAGCCAGTAATATTAAACGGAATATCAAAATCGAGGAATATCAACGTTGAATTTTTTTAAAGAAAAACAATCGATACTATCGTAATAGTATCGGTCTCAAATAATAATTAAAAAACCATTGAAACCTTTTAGGAACTTGTCCATTGTAAAAATTAGATGCCATCTGTCGATTTGCTTACAAATTTGTCTTCGTATTTTATAGCAGCCAATCCAAACATATCAAAAGCGCAACGTTGTAGCTCGATACTATCATGATAGTCTCAAAACCATCGATAGGGCTAGCAGAAAAATATCGATACTATCGATAGTGCCCTCTAATAAACTACATTAATTTTAATTTATTTTTTTATTTTCCAATTGAATAAATAAACCAGGCGCAGCAGAAACTTGTTCACATTTGTTTTATTTTGTTTTTCGTTAAGTCCACACCGGCGTTAACAGCTTTTCTAACCTGTTGCTTCGTTTTCATTCCACAGCAGCAGCCACATCAACATCATCCGCGTCCATTGTGGCTGCAATTCCTCCACGCAAACGCGGTCGACCAAAGACGAAAGTCGCCGCAGATGCAGCTCCCAAGTTGAAGCTGATTGACAAACTTAAGGAAGCCACGTTGAATGTAGCCGCCAGTGAGCAGGCTGTATACGCATCCACCACCAAGGGTAAGTGGCAAGGAGCGCTCAACTTCAGCCTTAGCCTCAGCTGCAGTACACCTGTTGCATTACTAATGCCTCCCCAATTGACGTTCCTCTCCCCGAACAGGTGGCGTGAAACTCATTTTTAATGGGCACCTTTTCAAGTTCTCCTTCCGCAAGGCGGACTTTTCGGTTTTCCAATGCCTGTACCGGGAGCACGGCGAGGAGTGCAAAGTGCGGGTTGTGTGCGACCAGAAGCGTGTCTATCCGTACGATGGCGAGCACGCCCACTTCATGCAGGCCAGCGACAAGAGCTGTCTGCCCTCGCAGTTCATACCGGGCGAAGGCGGTGCCATTGCATCGTCTGTCAAGGACAAGGGTGGAAAAGTGGAGCTCCTGATAAGGAAAAGCAAGCCCAAGGAGGATGAGGACGAGCAGGAAGAGTTTGAGATCCACGAAATCGATGACATTGAAATTGATGAGCTGCCGCAGGTGGAAACAGGCGAGCAGGAAACGGCTAGCGCTGCTTCTCCGGACACTGCAGATGACAAGAATTCCGGCCTGGTCCTGACCCTGGTGAAGTCCGAGGACGTTGATCCCACCGACTTTCGCGAGAAGATCAAACGCCGTCTGCAACGAGCTCTGCAGAACAAGAAGAAATAGCTGGATGATGGATGATGCTGCTGCTTAGGCACAGAATCCAAGCCGCCGTGCCTTCAATCTGACAAATTTTAAATACATTTTCTTTACTATTCAATTCACTTTGCTACAATTACTAGGTTTTGCACCATACACAAAAATACAACTAAAACTTACTCTAATTTAGATTTGCGTAATAAATTTTGATGTCAATAGACTCACCTCGCGTGCCCCATCCATCTAAGCATATTACTTAGTACGTAAGCCTATCAACGCTCTGTAACTGCCACCATTCCATTCCACATTGATTAATGCAAGCACCACTCTAATTTCGATTCTCTATTTTTCAGTTACACAACATGTCCGGAATTGCGGGCCGCAGATGTTCCTGATTAGCCGCAAGGGCGGCACTCTGCTGGCCATCAACAACTTTCTCTATCGCTCCAATCTCAAGTTCTTTGGCAAGAGCAACAACATTCTCTACTGGGAATGCGTACAAAATCGTTCTGTGAAATGCCGCAGCCGCTTGAAGACCGTGGGCGATGATCTCTATGTAACAAACGGTTTGTAGTTCGCACTTTGAAAACAGTTTCTCGATACTCATTGCTTTCCATTTCCACAGATGTGCACAATCACATGGGGGACAATGTGCGCATAGAGGCGGCCAAGATGTCTGGTTTGCTGATACACAGAAAACTGAGTTCCCTCACATCCGCTGACCGCTTGCAGGGTTCGTGGAAGATGGAAGACGAAGCCGCCGCCACGCCCGACCAGTAACCATGTCCATGTCCGTTTTAGACATTCCCTTATCGTCCAACATCAACTAGAATTAAGCTATTGTTTCCGCAAAGCCGAGCCTATTTAGCATGGATAAGTAAGTACATTTTTGTATCCGGATCGAACCATCAGCGTTTTGCGATGAGTTCCACAGACGATCCCCTAACCGAACAGTCCCGGGTGATGTGTATTTATTCCAGTATAGAATGTCAGTGGTCGCCAGGGCCCTATCTTTTGAGAATGGGAAAGTTTTTTGCTGCTGCACGGGCAGTAAAGACTACCAACTACTGCTTTATGGCAATCAGACGATCATACACGCAATGTACTTTTTGAATGTCTGGCCAACGTGGCAGCTGTACAAAATATGATCTCTGCAAAATAAAGATTGGGTGGCATCAAAATGAAAGCCAACTGTAGCTAGCAACTTGCCAAATTTTGTGCACTCGAACGTACAGAACAGGATTTGAGTTTACTTTTTTGTAACCAAAGTCTCCTTTAAATACATTTTAATTAATCGTTATCTTTGGGTATCACTCGAGTAAGATTTCCATGGATTTCGTATTATTATTTTTAAATACCTTTTAGCCCCATATTTTTGATATGTTTAATTCTCACATTCTTGTGGTTGTGTGAAGAGCAACAGCTGCGATATTTGATCTCGTTTCCCACCATAAAGGTGGACGCTCTGGCCCGGCAGCCCTTGTGGTGGTAGCGGCAGCGCCATGATCCAATCATGTCGTTTCCATCGCGTATGCGATGTATGATGAACCTTTCATTGGCTATAATCAACTTTGGGCGCTTGCGGGGGGATAATTTGAATTCGGCGGAGCCATCAAAGTCCTTGGACTTCCTGACATAGCGACGAGTTGTCGAAACTGAAAGAAACAGAAAGAGTTTAGAAGGTAAGCGAGTTGTTAATGGGATGGTTCTTATAGTTAGCGCTAAGATTGAGTGTGGATAACAAATGAAAAGATCTTTCTATGCATATTTTATTGTGTATCTAAAATCCTTAGAGCTATTAAAACTTATAGAAAAGGTTGCACTTAGCGTAGGTACTCTACATCGACATCTCAGTACGGAAACCACAGACAGAGGTGCCCCATCGCGCATTCAAATGTGGGCTAATAGTCCTTGTTGATATAGACAGCGCCGTGGTTTTGGTGCTGCTGCTGCATCAGGGCCATCATTTGCGGCGGCTGCACATTGGGCAGGGCTAGCGACATGGGCATGGGCAACGTCGGAATAGGCACAGACATGGCCAGATGTGTTGCTGCAGTGGAGTAATTTGTGGGCATCTGAGCCAAAGGCTGCTGGTGCTGCTGCTCCAGCTCCAGCGGTGGAGTGGACGGGTTCAATGGCACGCATTTGCTGCCACCGGCTGCATTATTGACCTTGGCCTGACAATACTGCTGACAGAGTGAAAGGAGATCCTTGTGACGCCGCTTGATGTGGCTGAGAAGTTGCCCGTGGACTTTGTGGTGCCCGATATAAGGCCGTAGCAGGAGGTGCAGGTGGCCTGGATGGCGCCTGCCGTTTTCTGGCTCGGCTGTATGTTCCTATAGAACTTACCGTCCAGGATTTTGGGTAGGGTAAATGGCTTGCGAAAGGACTCGTCGTCGCCCAGACAGGTGACGGCCAAGGACGCAACAGAAGCCACGGTGGGCATAGGCGTCGGTGTCGTTATGGTTGGCGGCTCCAGCTTAATCTCAACATCTGAAAGCAGAATCATAGGAAAATCAGGTTAGTAAAGAGGCACAGAAACATTCGGCAGGCACTAGTCTATGTACAAAACGAACACGCACGCAATGGGATACATATTTAAATAGGTTTTAATTTATTTAAGTAGAGCTAGGACGCAAAATAGAACTTTGACTTTGACTACTGCTGAGGGATGGATGGGGTGGGATAGGGACTACTGCAATTCGGGGAAATCATCGAGCAAGTCGGCCGAAAGGTCCATCGAATTCACTTCCGGGCCATGAGTGTGTGGCGATCCAGCTATGCGAAGGGTTACATCCTGCACCTTGGACGTGACCAAGGTGGCGCGACAGCTGTGCTTTACATACCGCGAGCAGCGCCAGAAGACATTCTTCAAGCTCTGTCGATTCACAACATATCTGTAGCCCTCGTACACCAGCATGACTCGACCGCGCTGCGTGGTCGTATATTGGATGCTTGTGCTGGCGCTCTTGTCCTCGAACAGAGCCTTCAGGGACTGCAGCACACCTGAAAGAAGCAACAGAATTTGGATTGTGTTAGTTGGGACTGCTTGCCAGTGGGAGCAACACAACCTGAGAGGGAGAAATTATGGGCTACTTGATAAGAGGATCGAGCAATTAGGTTACTGATTTTTATTAAGTCAGTTTACAAACGCAACAAATAAATTGGCAACTGTGTGCGCTATATACTAATTCTTGGCATTCTTGGCTGCAACCGCCTTTAGGGTCGACAGCTTGTGGTCTATGAACTCCTGGACAGTGGATGCTTTCAGCTTGTCGCCGCGTATGGCAAACACCTGGCACACATGGGCTGCAACAAAAGAAGGGGGAAAGTGATTTTATTCTGCACAATGTGTCTGTTGCAGCGGCGGCTATGTACTTATGATGGCATGCAGCAAGCTCTTATCTGGCTGTTCCTTGCCCTGGGCAATCCTCATCAACGTCTCTTTACCAATCACCAAATCCGTGACACGCGAGGCGTAAATCGCTGGCATGGGTATGTACGCCTTGGCCAGAGCCCCTTTCGACACGAAGACAGGACTGCCATCATACAGGGGAATTGCGTCGCTTGAATCGTCACTGGTCGGCTTCTCGGCCAAGTTTGGATTTACGGCTTCCGGCAACGGCTGCCGGGCTTCCTTTGACACCTTTTCGGGAAAACTTTTTGGCACGGACAGCACATCATCTGTAAGTGCACGCAAAAAGTAAAAGCATTATTTCAGCACAGCACTGTGTTTGAGTATATGTATGAACAATAAACGTAAACAAAATAAAACACAGTTCAAAAGGTTGTAGGCTTTATTGGGTCAAATAATCATGGGGGGCAGCGTACACTTGGAGCGTATAAGTGTCTGGTACAGACCAGGGCACGTATGTTCTATGATTTATTAAATTAGACACTGCATAAAGGCGAATAAACCACAAAATATATATAAACACACACGCAAGAGGCACAGAAATGGACTCCTGCAGGGCTGCATCGGCGAAATGAATGCGGTCGGCACTATCGATACTATCGGAAAATTGTAAAATGCGGATAAATAAACAATTTAGCAATTGAACCGTTCATATAAAAGATATAAAAAAATAAAAACAATTTTAATAGTTTACACGCATAATTTCCATACAAGTACGCGCGATGTTCGGCAAAATATTCAACCATCGACAATATCGATAGCGCTATCGACTTTTTACCCAGCCCTAAACGCCATGAAAAAAAAAAACTGCAACAATACGATGTGAATTTGTTATTAATTTTTAATGCAAGTAAATGTAATTATAGTGGGAAAAGGAATAGGAAAAGTGAATGACCTGAGTGTACGGCCCGTTGTGTGATGGGACCTGGTCCAGCCTGGATCTGCATCCTGGCTAGAAAGGCGGGTGTCCAAAGTGATTTGTGACTTCGAAATTTGAGGGCGACGCGACGCCTCCAAATTGCAACAAATGTGTACAAAAATAAATGAAATGATCAAACTGAAGCCATGTAACACGCTGTCAATAAAGTGTTAATGCAACAAATGAAAACTACTACGTACTAGAATATTATTTGGCGGATCTGCATTGGGCCCAACGCTGTGCGGAATATGTCTAATCAATATCCCTCTACAACATAATTTTTGTCTTGCAGGGATCGAAGATGACTACAAAGTGCAGTTGCCGCTGCCGCAGCTGCATCCCCAACAGCCGCTTCTCAAGCGGAAGTCAGTCTCTGGCTCAGTGAAGAAGCAAAGCTTCAACCACCTGGACGTATGCTTCACGCGCAGCAATCGGGGTAACAATCTGCTCACCATAGACGGCAAACCCTTTACGCTAAACCGTCGCATCAAGGATGCCTGCTACTGGGAGTGCGTCAAGTTGCGTTGCAAATACATCAAGTGTACAGCGCGTGTGGTAACCAAATCAAATCAGATCTCGGCACTGCGCGGCCATCACAATCATCCCTAAGTCGGAGTCCCTGTGCCATCTCATTTTTAGTCGAATAAAACGTTTTTCTGTTGTAACAAAATGCCATTTGTAGCTTCTGTATAGTCTCGTCTAGCATTCTGGAGGCTTAAATCCGTTTAATAATGCCTCGAACTCCTTGCAGATGGCGATGGTGTGTACCAGCTGGTGGCCAATCGGCGCGGTGGCCAGAACCTGATCTACAAGGGTCACATGTACTCAGTGGAGCGCAAGTACCACGCCAGCATCAATTGGGTGTGTACCAAGAACAGCAATCTCTTGACCCGTTGCCCCGCGCGCTGTGTGACTAACTCGAACGACAGTAGCATCAAGCTAAGTCACAGATCCCACAACCATGCCGCCAATCTGTTCAAGGTGCACAAGCCCAGGCAACTCACACGCGAGCGCCGACGGCACAGGCGAAGTGTACCTTAGTCTTAATACTTAATATAAATCTAAGCTCGTTAAGCCTGTAATCTATGTCTAATCGAAATCATTCCGTTGCATACATCACTAACCAAGCCCGTCTCTAACTCTACTTGCATGCAGCCTCTCCGCGCCGTCGCCTGCCGCAGTACTGCAGCCGCTGGGCCGCTGGTGGTTTTACGCTCATCGATGGGTACCGCTTTGTGATTGGCTCCCAGGCACAGCAACGCTGCTATCTAAAGTGCTCAAGCTTCCGCAGCAAGTGTCGCGCTCGGGCCATACTGAACAAGGCGAATGGAAAGGTTCAGCTCCGCCACTGGGCACACAATCACACACGGGGCCAGCAGCAGCAGGCCATGGCGCGGCGTAACTCAAAGGATTGAGCAAGTACCAAACAAAACTCATTATTACCGAATAAACAAGGCAAATGTTTCAACATAAAATACTTGACCGCTTTTCACTCATATCTAACTCGGAGATTAACACATAATATCATCACATAAAATACTTATATTAACTTGTTGAAGGGTTTACTAACTTGAGGCTTCTTTTCCTTTGCAGCAGGACAGGGACAGGAGTTGGCCGAGTATGTGCGGTCGAAGCGCGGCACCGGCCTGGTCTACTACGAGGGCAACACCTACACGCCCAACGAGAAGCTGCGGGAGGGCCAGAAGAGCCGCGATTGGAAGTGCTCAATGTATCACAAGGCCAAGTGTCGGGCCCGTCTTGTCACGCGTCTCACACGCAGTGGAGATCTCATACACGTGACCAGCAGATTTCACACACATCCCACGATGTACGACCAACAGCAGAAGTCAGAACCGGGCAAGGACGCCCGCAAGTTCCTCCTTAAGCTTAGTCCGCACAAGAAAGATCCCAAGTAGCCGCATAATCGTCTCGTTCTAGTGTAGAAACAGAGACGCTAAAGAGACTTGCTTGCCGACAAGCAAAATAAATCCCTATAATTGTATGCACAGTCTTGGCTTTTTATTTGGCATGCAATTCCATGGATATTTTGTTTATAAATTATATTAACATATTGATTTACTCTTTGCAGAATTCATGGCCATTGGCAAACAATTGCCAGTGCAGTATATATTGGACGAAGCAGGCAGAACAATGAAAAAGTGTCCAGTGTCCATTAGGTTCATCGAGGGACAACGAAAGTCGGTGCAGCTGGTGTGTGGCAGCTATGCCTATGCCAAGAATAACAAGTATGGCTCCACCACCTACTGGAACTGTCGGTGTCGTCGCCACGGGCAGGCGCCGTGCAAGGCTCGCCTCTCCACCACACAGCTAGCCAACGGCCGGTTCACAGTTCACCTCACGCGACCTAAGCACAATCATCCGCCCAGCAAGCGTATTAAGCGTATGCTTAGCCAGAAAGAATCTCTGAACGTAGACACTAAGCCTAGATCATAAGCAGCAAATATAAATGGCAAACAGCATTAAACCTACTCTTGTATCTGTATCTGTAGATTTAGTGAAGTCTGTAAATGAAATGTAAACTAATCAAACTGGCATTGTTCTTGTCCACAGAAAACAGCATCGCCATCTACTCGGCCACATCGCGCGGACGCATGCAGCTCATTTATGGCGGGCAGCCGTTCATCTTTGAGAAAACCCTGAAGCTGTCGTCGGGCGAGGAGAAGCGTTACTGGCGCTGCAATCAATGGTGGAACCAGAAGTGTCGCTCACGTGTGTTCACAGTCAATGATATTGTCTGTCCGCTGAATCGTTTCCATACGCACGAGGAGATTGTACGACGCAAGAAAAGAGTTCGTCGCGTGCCGGTCGGGGCAGCCGCCAAGGTTGTGACAACCGTCACCCGGCAGCAACAGGAGGCGGCACAACAGCAGCAGCAAGACGAGATTCAAGAGCAGCTGGCCAGCGATGCAATGTTGACAACTGCATTGGAGGATGAATCGCCGGCCACCATTGATGTGAACGAGCTGGGCATGCACCTGAAGTACGAGGAAATAGTGGCCGATGTCACAGGCATGGTGGGATCCAATCGCGTGGTCACCCGCAGGAAGTGAGATGCAATCACGCACCAACTCGTATACACACGTAGATTTAATTTGATTTTAGGGCATAGACACACAACATACAATATATGGCATACAATTCAGCTTCTAGCATATATATACATATACATATATATATACTTATAATTAAACTATCTTCTAATAAACTTTAAAAGCCTTTGACAGTAAAGAGTGGAGTGATGTCCCCCCGCAGCCATATTCCAGCTAAAGCCCTACCAATACCAGCCTACACCTTACTAACCCACCGGGACACATGTTCTCTTTTTGCAGAAAACGAAGATGCGCAAAAGTTCTACTTCACCAAGGGCCAGCGGGAATCCGTCAAGCTGAACTACGCCGGCCATAGTTTTGTGAAGTTCATGCAAAACAGTCGCGGCACCAAATGGATATGCGCCACCCGCTCCACGACCAAGTGCCGTGCCCGTGTTCGCACCAATGAAAATAATTCTCTGGAGATTCTACATGAGCCGCACAATCACGAAATGCCACCGAAGCTGGAGAAAAGACGTCACCGTCAGAAGATTAAGGCGAGGAAAGTGGATTAGAACGTAGAACTTAACGAGCCCTAAAGACTCTAGTTTGAGTACAAAATAATAATGGTTATCGTCATTTTAAGGATGTGTAAAGTTTAATTGAATTTTTGCCTTTATTGCCATATACATACGTACATACATCATTTATCCAATTTAATCTCTAACAAATGTCAGTACATGGCTATAGATTGGAGCGTTTTTCTCTTGTCAAGGGTAAATTTATGATTTTCGTAGTGATTATATTGTGCTCTCTGGACTAGGGCTTAATTAAATGCCAAAATAAGTTAAGTTTCTGTCGTTTCTGAATGTAGCTCTTCAAAGCATTTGTCACACATCCAATTGGTACCTGGGCAAGTATCGCACCAGGTTCTGATCCGTTCGAGACCCTGCTTACCCTTTTTCAGGCAATTGACGCACTTGCCCTTCATTCGTGGCACTCCCACCAACACAAAGTTATGATTGTTGGCCGATGTGCTCAAGATATTGGCCTTGCTTCTCAGATCAATCACCTGTACTAGGGGCTGCGGTTTGGCGTTCACTTTTGGTGGCATCTTACGAACCGTTGTTGGTTTTGCGGCTGAAACTATTTTGCGTTTCGGGACTGCTGCTTCAAGGAAAGGGCGGCGCACAATCATCTTCTTAGCAGTGGGCAAAGGTGATGCTGCAATGGAAAAATGTGAGTTAATAAAAGTTTCGAAATAATAGCTACAAATATAAAATAAAATATAAGCACTCGTCGAAGCTGTTTTTCAATTTAATGTTTATTTAATTCAATTATTCTAAGGGCTCTCGAGAGCTTTGTTCTTCATGGAATTAGACTGGAATCGAACACCCTGGGCACAAATGTCTTGACATGGCTGGGCGGCTCATGGTTATGTGCACCATGCTGTGCCACTATAGCCTTTTGCTTGGTGGTCAATCGTGAGGGACATTGTAGCCTCCTATACATGGCACAACGATAAAAGGTCAGGCACTTGGCCAAGTTCTTGGAGTGGCAGCTGTAGGTGTAACCTTCGTGGACTAGCTGCCCTCGATAGGTGTAGGTGAGCACTGCAAAACAGAGGAGAACAATGCCATTAGTGTGCTATAGAACGGGTCACACTTACATATGTCTTGGACAAGATATGGGTGGGCGTCGATTCACATTGATTTGTATCTTTATTTGACTTAATTATTTAGTAACTATATTGCACTGCTGGGACCAGGTGGACTGCTAGACTACCAAACTTAATCGTGAATGAGCATCAGTGAGGCGTGCATCAGCTCATGGTCCGACAGCTCCAATGTGCCCGCATCGCTGACCAATTGCTGTGGTGCCATTAGCTCCTGTTGTTGCTGCTGCTGGTGTATCGGCAGCTGCGTAATGCTCTGCAAGCGAGCTAGCTTCCGTTGCGAGCTGGCTATCGCGAGACGATTCCGTTGCAAAATCTTGTCGATCTTCTCCGTGTGCGGCATGTGGTTGTGCGGGCCACCCGTAATGTTCTTCAGCTTGCCATTTTCCAGGACACAGCGTGAGCGGCAGCGCTGTTCATGTTTCTTCTTTGAGTAGTTGTGACAGCGCCAGTACTCCTTGTTGCTCTTGCGGCTGTGGCAGTTGTACATGAAGCCGTTCAGGACCAGGCAGGGCGTCGACCAGGGGCTCTCGATGAAGACCAGCTCCGCGCCATCTGCAGATAAAGAAGGGAAGACTGCAGTTAGTGTCGGTGACCAGCAATGGGGGGGATGGGGATTAATTAGTGAGGATCGTGGCTTAAGACGGAAGTGACTGGACTAGCCCATCGTTGCGGATTTAATTTATTAAAAGGTTAAATACGAACGCGAATACAAGTGAACTTAAAAGAGGCTTAAACTAATATGTCGAGAATAATACGAGCTACGTTAGCTTCTAGAGTGCCTTAATCTTGAGCAAATGACGATGCTGCAGAGGCTTGACGACCTCCACTACTTGCTCAGTGATGGGCTGCTGGTGATCCTCCTCCTCCTCCTCTTCGACAACATCGGGCTCGGCCAGTGCCTGCATTTCGATTTGCGTTGCCTCGGAGGCTGGCAGAAACAGCTTGCACTCCTTGCCATCTTTGGCTGTCATGATGCTGATGTTGCTGCTGTTCAGGTATTGTGATATCTTTGGGTTCGATGTACATATCTCAATGTACTCCTCCAGTTCCTCCTCCACTTTGTACAGTTGACGCTGCCCGATGCGAGCCGCATGCGACTCGTGGTTGTGCAGGCGTCTCGCATCCACAAATTCCCCATTCTTCGTGATGACCACCGCCTTGCAGCGGAGCTTGAGTACGTCTGCACAGCGCCAGGTGGTCTGCCCATTGGCCTGTGTTAGTTTCTTGTTATAGATGTAGTCCCTGTACACTAGCTGGGCGTTCTTCTTCTGGCTGCGTATAAACTTGATTACTCCGTCTGCGAGATGTGTGTGTGGATGAGTGGCAATAACAAGAAGATAACAAGAAGGTAGAGAAAAGAGTAAGTAGACGCAACACAGGGCAGAGTAAGCTAAACATAAATAGGATTACTAATAAAGAGACGCGGCTTAGGCGCTACGTTAGGCTCGGCGAAATAAAACAACTTTTGTTTAGAATTTGGCTGAAAGCAATTTATTCGTAGATGAAGAACCGTATGACCCACGAAGAGCTCGCCTACTTACGGACGACTGCATTTCCATCCACATTTGTTCACTTTCAGTAGCATAATCACAATTATATTTATACCGGATCATCACAACACAAGTTCACGAGAAGTATCCAAAATTGAGGATTTTCTTGCGGTCAAGGAGCTGGACAATGACCTCGACCGTGTGAAAAGCAACGAGAAACTATACGCCATGGGCCGCATGTCACCATTTTAATAAGTATCACTTAATTTATTTAACACACACAAATGTTTTATAATGTTTTCACCGTCTTTATTTTATATTCTTCTTCTTCCTTTTTTTTTATACATTTATTTCATTTGCCTATCGATAAAATATTCCGATATACCAGAATTTCGCGGAAATAAATGCGCCCTGGTCGACAATGGGTTAAGAACGTGTAGTTTCGTACGTGTCCATCACTGTAAAACAGCTTATTTCATACACTCCCGTTATATACGTAATCCAATCACGATTTGGTAGCGAAAATTTAAAAACAAAAAACCACTAGAGTCGTGAGTTTGTACAGAACTAGATACGATATATCGTGTAAATTGGCTGCCATACTGATATGGCAACTCTGCGATAATAAACAATGTGGCATCCCTTATCCTATTTGAAACGCGCATAAAGGGGACAGCTTACACACACAAACAGAAAAAGGAGACAGCTCTACACCAACAATGCATACGACAAGCAGGATGAGCACCAATGTCTGGGTCGACTGGTCCACAAGGACATTAAAGCATCCACGTTTCATTGCGTTGCGCTCCTCAATGCCATGGCACTTGCCGTTCAAGGGCAACAAACTCGACGAATAAGCGGTTTTGCTGGACCGACTGCAAGTCCAGCGCACACATGATTTATGATTGAAACAAATTATTGTGCATCCAGACTACAACGACGCCCTTGTAGATGACTGGCTTTATTATTCAGCCCATTGCATGCCGCATTCCTTTGGGAATTGCCAAACCAACGACGCTTGTGGCAGCCGACTTAGACTTGATTGGTTCTGAATCGGGGAAGAATATTCACAGCCGCCGCATCAAGCCTTATGCGCTTATAAGCGATTCGCAGTTTTATGTGCTCCGTAGATAACAGAGCAGATATTTTAGAGAAACGGAACTGCAGCCTGGGTCGCCTTTGATAGGCGTTCGAATGGACACAGGTGTGACAACAAATTTACTATCTAATTGTGGGACGATTCGATCCGTTCTTGTCAGTGCCATACATGTTTAATGTTTATTGCCCCCATACAGAAGTTGGATTTTCAATCTAAATGGGGAAAAGAAGGCCCGTCAACGCAAATAATACCACCTCCTCCCAACCCAAACCACAAGAAATTATCTGAAATTTTAAAGTAATATATAGGATATTCAACAATAGTTATATTACCATAAAACTGTAGAACCATCTCCTCTAGAGCCACAATCCAGTTTCCAGCATTCCGGGGGAGTTGATCATCTGGACGCCGCATTTAAATTCAACACTCTACTTACCCTTTCACTAATTTTTGTAACGATTCGCGGGACCAGGCGCATTAGCGACTACCGATCGGCCCATGTTCTTTTGCGGAGTTTAATAGAACACAGACTTGCTTAAATACTGGCTTTGCTTGTTAAGCAACGCTTAAATAAGAATCTGTCGCAGATTTAAGCGTGCCTATCAAACCTTAAGAAGACGTGTCCCACTTGCGAGCTGCCAACAGAGTTTTCTCGGAACAATTAGCAGCTCATCGGCTGATTGAAATTGAAGTCTGATTAGTTGTCAGATCAGATAACTCTTTGGGTGCAATTCGCAGATGGGTGACACATCCACTTACTAATATTACTTAGAACTAACTGGCGCTGGGCCGGTCACAGTAAAAATTCAACCAACCTTGAGCCTCAGTGTTGCCTTGATCCGCGCTGGTGTCGACAAACGATGAGTCGCTATATGTCTGCGACTTGATCACGGCTTTTGATGTGGTCGCTGTGGCACTGTTGCCGCTAGTATTGGCTGGTGCTTGAGGGCCGGCATCTTCATTTTCCGTAAAGTAGCTGTCATCGTAGCGCATGTCACCGTATGTGTCGTCCTCTACATAAGTGGTATCGCCATCACCTGCAGCATCGCCATGGTCCTCGGAATATTCAGGTTCCGCCTTTGTGGGCAATTCCATGGGGAGATCAATGTATTCAGCTTCTTCTTGCTGCTGGGCTTGCTGGCGGAGTTGCTGCGACTGATGGTGGAGCTTGGTATCGGCAGCGGACACAGTCTGTACGGTGATTTGCTGCGGCACCAGCTGCGTGGTCGACGTGGTCGCAGTCTCAGTGGCAGAGTCCAGGGGATCAATGACGTTGGCGGAGGTGGTGGTGGTTGTCTTTGAGCGCTTCACGCCCCCAGTAAGACTACTGCGTTGAGCAGTACGCTTGTTTGTTGACACCAGCGTTGCGGTCGTTGTCGTTCCGGTCTGCATCTGTTGCGTCTGAATGTGCTGCTGCTGCTGTGCTTGCTGTTGTACAATGGCTTGCGGTGCGGATGTTTGGATAACAATTTGGGTGGTGCCCTTGTTGTCCTCGCCCAGGCCGTCGTCGACGGTCTCGATCTTGTAGCGGGCAGAGGCACGCGGCTGTTGGCGCTGAACGCGCTGGGCCGGTACGGGTTGTGGCGGTTGTTGTTGTACAATAGGTGCTGATGGTGGGGGGGTTGGCTCCTGCGGTGGTGGCGGAGCGGGATCATTCTGCAATTCGATTGTTTTATTAGTTTATAAATATTTATGATTCTGCGCGATTTTCAATTCGCTGCAAACAAAACAAAAAAACAACAACCACCCAACGTTGAACGGTTGTTGCTAGGCACGTCAGAGCGAGACAACGGCAGCGCACACAAGCGGCATACAACTGCCATCTCTCTCACACGCGCACGCCTGGCGGCATTCGAGAAATTTCTCGGTACAGTCAAGCCAACTCTTATACAGGCCGACGCCTGTGTGTATGTATTGCGCTCGAAAGGTGCTGCTGCGCTTGGTAGTAGTTGTTGCTTTTTTGGTACATGTACTCAATTTTGTATACTCACATCGGTCAGCCCCTTGATTTGCAGAGACTCGGCTGTGCTTATGAACGCTGGCAATGCATCCTGTTTCACGTTCACCTCCCCACAATACATGAACTGGATAAGGTCCTTCAAAGCCGAATGGCTCACGTTATTCAGATACACTAAAAATTCAAATTAATTAATCATCTGCCTCATTCCAAAGAGTGTGTGTTTGCTACTTACCGAATGCATTGGTGTTTAGCGGCATGTTGGTGAACATCTTGCGGAACAGGGGCGAGCATACCGACAGGACAAGTCGGTGGGCCTTAACAATTTGCCCCTCGGCCACCAATGAGACGTCCACGAGATCGCCCCGACATAGCGACTCGTGGAACCCCGCAGACAGATTCGTGTTGAAATTGTTCCAACACAAACTGAATTGCTCGTCGTCCGCCATCTTGGACGTAGCAAAAATCAATAATTTTCTGTATATGCGTCGCCTGCAATGGGAGAACAGAAATGCATTTAATGTTTTTTCCACTTTTTTGTTTTGCTTGGTTTGTACAATTTCAGTTAATATTTTTGTTTACAACCGCCACCGAATGCCAAAAAAGAGAACCGAAAAATGCCTCGTTCAGGGAAATTTTCAGCGTGCGTGTGTATGCGTGTGCGAGAAAAAATTGCATCGCTTCTGGCATTTTGTACATTTACGGCCCGTAAACAGTGAATTTTAACAAATACTTGCTGTCCACTTGTGCACTCACCTCTTGAGTCAATATTTTTTCAAATAAAATACTTAGTTACAGCCAGATAGTTAAAATAATTTACTTTTTCTCGCGCCTGAACGCGAACGCGTCTGTTTTTTTGTTGGTCCGAAAAAAGTGTGACCAGCAGCGTGACAGCGCTGATAACGATAAATACCATCCGTCAAAAAAATAAATACCATTAAATACCAATTCAGTTCAGAGAAATACCATTTAAATACCATACCAAAAAAAAACCAGGGCAATCCGGCGATCAAACGAAACTTAGCCCACTTAGCACCCCTAGATTTAAAAAGTTGAGCACACTTTGTTGAACCGAGGAAATTGATACTGTTTGTAAAGGCTCCTTGTAGCTCGATCCTCCTTCTTACTTACAAAACAGAAATGACCACCGACATCTTTCACCTGTAATGCGTAAAATATGTTCAACTTACATAAGTTTCGTGGGAATATTAAATACCCCTTACATATATTGGGATAACATTCTATTTTATTGATTGAAATCGTATTCCATAATTTTGATATTCTGTTTAATATTACTAGCTAGTTAGCCCTCTCAGCCCTTAACAAATAATTTCATCGAACTCCTCAATAAATTTTGTTTAAGATTGGCTAGTTTTCAAAACTCTTTCTATTGGCTTGTTTACATAATAAGGTTCAAACAAAAACGGCCAAAGCATAAAACGTAAATGTTGACTAAATGTGACGTCACATGTTGCTGGTCGCAACCAAGTTTTCTTCTATGCGTATGGATTTTTGTATACCTCTATTCTCTTTTAATTGATGTTAAATGTTTTGTTCCAAGCTCCATTGAAACATTAAAATGTATGATTTAAAAAGGGAAAATATACATATCCTAATGATTGACATGAATTGTCTTACCCCCTATTAAACACTGCATAAGTTTTGTTTTATATATAGATACATTTATCCCCCGTTGCCATAAAAACACGGGAGAGAACTTGGGGGGCCCGTAAAAAAAAAAAAAAAAAAAAAAAACCCAAAAAAAAAAAGGCGGGGGGTTTTGGGGGGGGGGGGGGGGAAAGGGGAGGAGGGGGGCCGGGGGGAAAAAAGAAAAGAAAGGGGGGGGGGGGGGGGGAAGAAATTTTGGGGGGTTTTAAAAGGGGTTCTAAGGTCTGATACCTATTATTGGAACCCGTGAGCTGCAAAACTTTGTTAATATCTTTAGAACAGAGACTGAATAGTTTTTGCATTAATTGGAGCCTGAAGTCCATAATATCCATTTTCCCAAGGTATGCAGATTGTTGCTCATTCCATGCCAAAGTTGCACAACATTGCTGCTACTTCATTTCCCCATGTTGCTGAAATTTTTCCCGTACAAATCAAATGCATCTTACGGGAACGCGTATGGAATGACGCAACAATGAATCTTTATTCCATACGCGTTCACGTAAGATATATTTGATTTTGTATGGGAAAAATTTCAGCAACATGCTGCCACACCACGAAAATGAGGGGAACGTCTCCACAAAAACACTCTCTTCTCCACTAAAAGAGAGCAAATTTTGCAAATTCTCCACGAATTGAGAGAAAATTTTGAAAACTCTCCACGAATTGAGAGCAAATTTTGAAAACTCTCCACGAATTGAGAGCGAAAAATGTCAGTATTTTTCGTGCGCTAAATTGAGTTTGGCGGTCAATTTGAAATGTGTCTTAATATATGGAAAAATTATATTTCACTTGATTTGTTTTGTCGAGTGACCTCAGAAACCGAGAAAAAAATAGCTCACTCGATTTTGATATTCAGTTTAATATTACAAGCTAGCTGGGACTCTCAGCTCTAAACAAATAATTTTATCCGATAGATAGATAAATTTTCTACAAGATTGTCAAGTTTTGAGAAGTCCTTTTTATTGCATTATTTACATATTAGGTTCAAACAAAAACAACATAAAACGAATGTGACGTCGTTTTGTGGCGTTGCCAGACTCGTGAAATTCGTAATTGCCGCGGGCTGCCATACCATGATATTTTGTGAAATGAAATTCGTCAATTTTGATATTCCGTTTAATATTACTAGCTAGTTGGCCTTCTCAGCCCTAAACAAATAATTTTATCCCAATTCCTCAATAAATTTTGTTTAGGATTGGCTAGTTTTCAGAACTATTTTTAATGGGATTGTTAAGATAATAAGGTTCAAACAAAAATGGACAAAACATAAAACGTAAGTGTGTACCGGAATGCTACTTCAATGTTGCTGGTCAACCATGTTTCTGCTATGCGTATGGACATTTGTATGCCCTATTTCCTTTAATTAATGCTAAATTTGTTTTTCCAAGCTGCAGTGAAGTTGTCTTAGAATGACATGTTTTTGTCCCGGTCCTGAGTAGTTTCTGCACTCATTAGAGCCTATGATTACAAACATTACCTCTATTCGATAATATCGCTTTTCGATATATTTTGTTGTTGCTTAATTAACCAATTATTATTTTATGCTAAAAAGCTTTCGTTAAGTGTTTGATAAATAAGATTTTTTGGTTGGAATTTTACGCATTTTATATATAAATAATTTTCAACTCTTATTATAACATAAGTTTTGACATATGTATGTACATAGATAGAATAACCCTTTTCCGTTCGTTGCTGTTTGAATAAAAACCAGTGGTATGTGTACCCACATACTTGAAATGAATATCAAGCCATCCATGCAAACACACATATGTACATAAATACGTTTTGATCTTCGGATCTGTATGCTTAGTACACTCATAAAATCAAGTGTGCGAAAATCTGCACTTGAGCGCCACTTGACGTATTCAAGTTGCGACGCACAGTGTATACAACAAGTACGCAGGGGGACTATAAAACCTAAGGACTTTACAATAATAAATACGGGGATACTTAAGCTCAAGTAGCGAAACAGAATCTGCATAAAGTGGCTGCGAACAAACAACTAAACTAAAAGAACAACAACGAAGGGGAAGATGAATTTATTTGTGACGTTGCAAGTGGCTGTGAAGAAGACATACAAACCAGATAATTCTAAAGGATTTTGCTTCTCGTCTCTAATATGGCAAAACTAACTATGGAAAACGATAAATTCAATTGAATGGGATTATCTGTGGCTGTATAGTATAATTTTTGACATGCCTCTATTCTTCCACAGCATGTGGAATCACGATACGATCGCCCTGGTTCAACAACAATTTCAGTGCCATCAGCTGTTGCCGGGAGAGCCGCCTCCAGTGAAAACGAAGCAAGCGATGAACTCAAAGAGAATGATTCCTCATGCCCTGCTGTGATTGGTTCCCGTGGCAGCCATTTTTCCACCCGAGACTGCTACACGCCTTACTTATGGCCCGGGGTGGGTATCTGTATCTGTATATGTGTATGTATTGTGTATGCGTTCTCTTTCAGTCCAAGAAGAACCGAGCATCGAGCTGACAAATTGCCGACACGGTCGAGTGCGGCATCGGCATCGGAACGGCACTTCGGGCACGGTTACGGCAACGACATTCAGTTTCAATACGGCTGCAAGGGGTGCGGATGCGTGCCGCCACATACTCATCCTCATCTATTCGAGCTATTCGGCTATTCGAGTCCTACCCACACCATCCAATCGCGCGCTCAATATCGCAGTCGCAATCGCAATCCATTCAAGTGTCGCAAGTTCAAGTGCAATTTGGCAAATTGTTGTATTTATTCTAAATTGAAAGTGCCCCTCAAGTGCTCAAGTGAACCAAACTCGAAAATGTTGCAACATCATCATCAGCAGCAAGCACAGGTGCCACAATCCGGCGGCTATTACGACTACAATCAGTCGCCTAGTCCTGGCAGTCTGACCAATGCGGATGCCCTGAACACCACCCCATTTTCAGTCAAGGATATATTGAATATGGTTAATCAAACGGAGGCATACGAAGGCGCCTATGGACATCTTGACAGGTAAGCTTTTATCTTATCCTCAAGTCCTGGCTAGAAAAAATCTTTTGTACGAGTATTTGTTAGGCAGAAAACAATTGAATATATTCATATAATTACAAACAAAATCTAGGGACTGGAAGAGCTAATTATCTTTGGATATTTTGTTTTATAAAAAATCAGTTATGAAAAATCCGAAACACGCATTTTGTAGGACGGCAAGAAACTGTTAAAGAATTCCCGGACTCTTCCTTATTATCACTCAGACACATCTACCTGTCAGCAACTATTTTCAAAAACAAGCAGTTTCCCATTTTCCCATTCCCATACATTTTTGCATTTTATTTATTTTTATTTAGTAAGGCTCCATAGGAAAATTAATTTCCACCAATTTTCGTTTGAAAGATAATGTTTTGATAACCTTCTGTCGAGACCGAGACGAGACTCGGCAGAAGAAATCCTATGAAAACACATTGAAAGCATGAATTGCAAATAGGATCTAGGGTCCCGTCCTACACATATTCGTAGAGCTAAGAAGCAGGAGTTTGGCTTTGACAAATCATCGTTATTTGTACAAGAGGCAAGAGGCCAGACCTCTTCTCTCTGTCGAAGACCAAGACGCACCCACACGTACACACACACACACACACACACAGACACAGTCGCAAAGTAGTAACAATAGGAAAAACAAGGCCCTCGGCTCGAGGTCTGAGGTCTGATGTCCGACTGCCTGAAGCCGCTCGGAGTGTGGTCGTCGTCCTCGCGACTGGCTGGGGCTGGCCAACATATGTGATTCGCATGTGTGTCCGGTGCGGACCGCACTGGGGCGTCCTTAATTCTGATGAGGCATGAAATGATGTCACCAAGGGTCCTGTCGCGACAGCAGGAAGTACGCAAATGGTCCGGCGCTCGCCTTACCCTGCACCAAGCTCTTGCTGTGTCCGGTGTGATGCAACATGTGGCATCCATAGCCAGATCCGAAACTAACCAGCCTCCCCACTGTCTCTCTCTCTAATAGTGCCGCTGCAGCTTCGGCGCTCTATGGCGCCGGCGAGTACCAGCAGCATCTTCACCAGCATCCGCATCAGTACCAGCACCAGCAACAGGAGGTCGTGTCACCGGCATCGCAGCAGCAACTGCATCATCATCTGGTCGAGCATCAGGAGGATGCAACTACAGCGTCGTCGCTGTCGCCACTGCTGCCGCCCCCGCCCCACGGCCACCATCAGTTGTACGGCGGCTATCAGGACTACGGCATGCCCGCCCACATGTTCCAGCATCACCATGGACATCCGCACCAGAGCTTCCAGCCGGCTGCCTCGGCCTACAACATGTCCGCCACGCAGTTCTACGCCGGAGCCACAGCCTCCTCGTATCAAAGTCCCGCCACATACAACTACAACTATGCCGGAGCCGTGGATGCGTATCCGCAGCCACCGTCAGCCGTCAGCATCAAGAGCGAGTACATACCCACTCCGTATGTGACGCCCTCACCCACCCTGGACCTGAACAGCTCCGCCGAGGTGGAGAGCCTTGCGCCGGCGCAGAAACTATGCGGCAATCCGCTCTCCCAGAGACTCCTGGAGACGGTCAGCAACTCGGCCTCGCTGCGTAGCATTCACAGCACGGATGAGGGCCCCAAGAGAAGTAAGTAATCGTAGATAACGTCTCCAATTCATTCAGGAATCTAACTGTCTTGTATGCGTCCACAGAGGACAACAGCCAGGTGACCTCTTCGCGTTCCGAGCTGCGCAAGAACAGCATCAGTGGCAGTGGGAATCACAGCAGCATTAACAGCAATGGATCCACCAAGCCACGCATGAAACGCAAGCCACGGGTGCTCTTCTCCCAGGCACAGGTGCTGGAGTTGGAGTGCCGTTTTCGGCTGAAGAAGTATCTGACGGGATCTGAGCGTGAGATAATTGCCCAAAAGCTGAATCTGTCGGCCACGCAGGTGAAGATCTGGTTCCAAAATCGTCGCTACAAGTCGAAGCGGGGCGACATCGATTGCGAGGGCATTGCCAAGCATCTCAAGCTCAAGGCGGAGCCACTGCACTCACCCACATCGCTACCACCTCCCATGCCCAGTCACATGATGTGGCCACCCACAGTCCAGCACTCCCAGCAGCAACATCAGCAACAGCAACAGCAGCAGCAGCAGCTGCAACATCTGCAATAGCCTTTCGAGGGACAGGCAGATATTCGAGTTGGAGTTTTTAATTTATTGCAATTTAACGCAGAATCTATGTTGTAGCCTAAAGAAAATGCCTCATAGCTCTAGTAACTTGTTTTATGTATATATCGGACAATAAATAAAGTTTAAGACAAACTACTCCAATGGTTCTTATATTTTGAGTTAATTCAACAGAGACTGGGAACGGGAACACTTGCAAGTCAATTAAAATACGAGTAGTCCCAGAGCAATCACTTTCTCTTCTCTTCTGGTTTCCTTTTCCTCCTCTGTCACATAAAACATAAAGTCTTTGCTCCACACGTACTCCCATTCTGGGAGTTCCTTGTATTTATATCTTTATGAGCAGCTTTCGATCGGCTACCAATCCATCGATCCGTCGATCCATTAGGCACCGCATCTGCGTATAATTGTTGCCGATTGCCGCATAAATCAATTTAATCGAAAAGAACGATCAGTTTTGTTTTATGAAAAATGAAAAGGAAAACAAAACAATTTCCGTTTTAATTCTGGAAATGTTTTCCCTTCTCTGCTTTTGGCATGGCCAAAGGGGTGCCACGGACAGCAACGGGTGCGTCGGCGGCAGACACTACAAAGGTTGCATTTATGAAACGTTTAAGTGGCAGCAATGCAACTGTAAAATGTTTTTCCTATATCCAAAGATACAGAATGCAGGGCACAGAAGAACTCCACTCCTAGGCATTTTATGACAGCCAGCAAGCCAGCAAGCCAGCGGGGCAAAGGCTAATATTTCATGGAGTGTGGTGTCTTGGGGCCACAGTCGCTGCCACTGTCGCTGCCACTGCCACAGTGCTGTGTTGGTGCGGTGGTGGTGACTCGCCTGTTTCCCCTGTGTTGTGGCATATCAATTACTGCACAAACACATGCCACAGGAGGGGGCAGCGAGATTGAGGATGATGCTTGGGGTGAGTGGGAGGCCACAGGCCAGACCAACAAGTGCAGCTGATCACACTTTTCGGGGAGTGGAGTCAACCGGGGGTTTGAGTTTCAGCCTTTCTGACAGCCAGAGCTTCTGGGGTTAACTCTCGCTTCTCGGATGTGGGGTGAGCACTGAGTTTGGATGTCAATCACAGTGATCACGCATTAGATATACACATACTGGAACTCCACAGTAGTAGGCTGAGGGATAGATTAGGCTCCCTTGGGAAAGTAGAAGCCAGACAGTGCAGGGAGTTGGTCGTGGAGTGGCAAACAAAACGCCTCCAAGGCCAGCCTTGCCCCATGAAGGTTAGTCCCAGGATAATGCATGTCAAGTGCCGCTAAACATTGCCTAATGGACCACACTGACCAGGCCCTGGGCAAAGGAAATCGGAATCTGCGACCCAGAAACAATTAAGGTTTCGTCTTACAATGTCGGCGGCAATGTTGCGGCGACGCGTCGTGTGCTCCTCCATGGAGTCGATGGTCTGGAGTCTAGACCTACGCAACCCAGTACGACGGGGAACTCAAGTGGAGAAATTTGTCATTCCCATATATCACACAAAGGATCGGGTCGTTCGCCGATAAGCAGGCCAGGATAAACCAACCCGATGTCGGAGTATGTATGCTGCTCGGTTTGTAGCGCCGTTTAATTCATGTCCCGTCAAAGGATCAAAGACGACACAAGCCGCTCTCGGAGTCGCAGCTGGGATCGGATCGGATCGGATCCCATCACATTTCTTCGACTCCAATCGTTGGCTCCTCTCCATTGCTTTCACTGTCATCATTTGCATTTCCTCCTGGCTATGTGCCAAGCCGCCAAAGTGAGAGTAAGGTAAGCAAATTAAGATTTATTAACAACAATAAATAAACAATATGAAAGAGCAACAATAGCATCAACAATTTGGCGTATTTTGGGGCCCCTAATTCCCATTTCCATTTCCCATTTCCGCACCCTTTGAATGTTGCCGCCCCTCCCTGCGACGATTGCGTAATTTTCTTCAATATTCTACTTTCACTCCAAACATCCAGATCCACAGCCAGCGCTGTCAAGTGGATGTTGGAATGGCTGCGGTTGTGCCTCTGTCTCTGACTCTGCCACTGCCTCTGGCTGTGTGGCAGTTTCTCCATTAAAGCCTTTGACATTTTATCAGAAAATCCATCGAGTCATTGTTATACATTTCCATTTGATGTGCCCCCCATAAAAATTGCGATCTCGTTTTACATTTGCCCCCGCCACTCGTCTGGGGGCTCTGTTTGTTTCTGTTTTATATCCATCAGTTTATGGCCTTTGTGTGGCTTTCAAGTGGATAAATTGTGACAATTATATTCAAATTAATTGAGTAATTGCATTTCTGGAATCCGAGCGGCGGCATTTTGGAGCGTTTGATTTATGGCGTGTGGAAAACGGCACTCAAGGAACAGAATCCGCGTAAGCCCATAATCCCATGGCGTTGATATCGCTTTCGGTTTGGCTGCAAAAAAAAAACAAAACGCTTGTGGCTAATGAAATCTGAGTTCCATCCGCTCTCATCCGAACATCCTGATCTACTTAGGGCACCTGTAAACAATCTCAAGCATCGGTTGCTTGAGGCGAGGTACCAATCGATTGTTCACCTTCGATTTGGGTGGCTTCCTCAAGGAATGTTAATTGATTTCCTGGTTAGCAAATTAATTGGCTATTTATGGGTATAAGCTATATAAGTTGCACCTTCTTGGACTACTACGATTTATGAATAATTATAAAATTCTACGGTTCGAGTATTCGAAAGTAAATATTGATGGCAGTTGTACAGAAATTCATAGAATGGAACTGCGCTCACATGTGTGTTATCTATTACCATCTATAATTATCCACTCGCTAATTATTTCCATAGATTGAATCTAATCAGAATTGAGCATGTAATGCACCGGAATCCCGTAGATTAATATCGTGGGGTAGAAAAACAATTTTGTGGCTGGCTATAAAAGCAACTCCCTTCGCAGGTGTTGTCCATTCGAAAATTAAAGTTAAAATGTGTCGTGTACAGTTGGTGCTGCTATGGCAGATCCTTGTCCTGCTGAAAGGTGTAAACTATTCGATGGCAGTTATGTATGAACTTTTGCTCGAGAATGAGGAAGTATTCACCGAGTGCCAGGATAACCCTAAAGGATATCTCAACATGGGTGGATTTTGGGATTTTTCCGCCTTCAACTTGGAAATGGTTGAGGAGGGAGTTATCCTGTCGGGAAACATAACTTCTGTGTGGAATGTCCAATCCACGGATTACATTGAGGTGACAGCAGCTAAAACTTCTAAGCGTGAAAGACTTGTCCTAAAAATTCTTACTCTATTTTATTTTAGGCTTCTGCCAGCATATTTTATCTCGATCGTGGCTCTTGGCAACAAACCATTCTCAATATGGTGTCGAGGGACTTCTGCAAGCACATGTACGAAGATAACCAGTTATGGTATATGTACTGGACCGAGCACGTGACCAACGATGTGAGGGACAAATGTGTCAGCCTGGGAGTAAGGACAGTTTCCAATGGTCAATTAATTATAAATTCTATATTTTTTTTCCATTTTCATTTCAGACTACGCAGGTAATTGAAAAGTATCTTTTAAAGTTGAAGTTTCCGTTGGATGTTGCACTACGCTCTGGGCGCTACAAGATTGTCTTTCAATTTCATGCGTCGGATCGTGCTGGCAAAAAGCGCAAAACCAGTATATGCTTTGAAATTATAGGCGAATTTACGAAGTCCCAATAAAATGTTGGCATGCACTCTATTTTCGATATTCCCTATATTTAATACTGATGTTCGGGTTCCCTAAATACGAGTATTTAAATTCTTTTAGCCTGATAGCTCTTCGAAATATATAACATTTTACTATATCTTTTGGTATTATTTAATGTATCAAATTAAACCATTTTCCTGAAATCTTTATCTATTTATTCGGGTATTTATATACACATAAAAGGTTACATTTATTTTGATTGATAAACAAAATAAGACATTTTTTAACCGCTCTCGCAAGCAAACACAAATCATCTTTAAATAACGCGCTATTGTTGAATTTCTTAGTATTTTCGGCCTGAAGCTGCACGGTCACACTGCTGGCAGCAATGTAGTTATCGATGTAAGTTTTCATTGCAGGCAGCGACCTCTATTGGTATCTACACGAATCTTACCTCCATATGAAAATTCTACATGATTTTCACCACCTATTGCTCGTTTTTCTCACTGTCTCATAGCGGCGACACTATCGCTCTTATAAATTGTTATTTTACATGTTATATAAGAGTTTTTGCGCTTATATATTTCTATATATTTCAGGTAAATAAAAGAAAATAATATAAAAACAAACGAAAATTTGATTGTTGCAGCGTAACAGGTCGAAAAATTATGGCAAGAAACTATTACATTTTGCAACCACTATATAACACTTTATTTCGTTTCCTCGATATCTGGAGCCCGTCAAACCCTACGTGGTAGCCGTTCATAGCCCATAAGTAGACTACTCCACTCAATGCCAACATAACTTTAATTGGGAACTTTAAAACTAGCTCTAAAACCAATGAGGAACTAGAAAATCAATGCATCCATTGATTGAATACTTAGGAAGCACTTGTCCAGACTCAGAAAAGCATCGAAATACCTCAGGCGGATCGGGTTTCAATGCACTGAATATGAATGATAATGAAAAGCAGGGCAAAACAAACAGTTGAAGTGGTTTTTGATAAACCATTAAATCGAATTTAATACCACAAGAACAACAAACCAGTGGACGTGGAGCGAAACAGGAGGGTGGCAGACATTTCGAAATCAAACAAGAAACTGTCGGATTTAATTGAAAACGCCAATTCATCATGGACAGAGGGAGGACTCTCTCCCCCATTTATGTAATTGAATACCTGCGACATTCATGGGTAATCGTATCAACAATCAAAGCAACCAACAGAATTACATACATAGCACCATGTCGTCTGTATGTGCATTTATACAGATCTGAGAAACCAGGCCGGAAAAGGACGCGTGCGCCAGCCACAAGCATCATTATATACTAATTACTCGAGTATTATTGAAACCCATTCAGCTGAAAATGTATAACGAGTGGCAGTTCCTACAGTTGCTCCCGGTTTATTCCTACCGCACTTGGTGCACACTCGAATTGGTTACGTTACTCAAATCTGACCGCAAAATAGCCAAGCTCTCTCCCCCTTTGCCTTTGCCCTTTCCTCTGAAGCCGACTCTATTGTTGGCTTGACTTCTGCGCCCGTGGCATTAAGAGCCATTGAATTGGCAATAAAAAGATTATAGCCCGAAGGTGTGAAGTGTAGCAGAGAAGCAACCGTTCGGCCAGAGTAGAGTCGACAATCGGAAACGGAGAACGGCGAACGGCGAACGGAGACTGCACAAAGAACACCCCCATGGCGAACATGTGTTTGGGTCCATTGTTTCCCGTTCTCGTTCCCGTTCCCGGCATTGCATCGCTCTCGTTCCGAGTGAGAGTGGATGAGTGAGTGAGTGTGGTCGGATGAGTGTGCGCAGCCATATTGCGGCCTTAGCCAGTCGACATCCAATCAGCGCCAATGAGCTCTACTCATTCACATTCAAATCAGCCAATGGAAAACGAGATTACTGTGGATTACTACAATAACACTTGTGGAGGAAGAGACACAACTTAAGATTAACTATTGAATACATTTAATTGGATTTCTACGCGTACATATATTAAAATTCCCTCTTTTTAATTCTTAATATTGGAACATATTTTATTTCCACATAAAGCATCGATAGTTTGCTTAATTACGTGTGCAATCCCTCCGCGGATTTAAAACTCAGTTCAACTCTAAGACCTCTTGCAGTTTCTCCTTTTCTATTTTAAAATCCATTTAAATTTTTGATATTTCTTTTTTTGTTTAAATTTCGAAGGAAATCCATTACCTAACTAACCTACTTATTGCCAGACTTTTTCCAAATTACTTCCAATCCAAACAAATGTGTAGCCCAAACAAATCCAAAACCAATGTGGAGTTCACTTGACATCACTTCTGGGGGTACGTACGTGTACGGGTACGGGTACTGTACCCAAAATTCCATTTACCAGCAAACCAAATGCAATGGGAGAATAGTTAGCAATGCTATAAACAATACTCGTCAGCGTAAACAGGATGCATGCACTCCCGAAACTAAGGCGCACTACCAGCAACGTAATGTAACGTAACGCATCCATTTAACGACACATTTTGTTTATGCACTTGAGAGGAACTCAAATAATGCCCTTCCTTGCCCGAGCATCCACCAATGGGCGGCGTCGGGCACGAACGGAATCCAAATCCACCACCAGAGTGTGCCAGCTGGAGGCGAGCCCACTTGAGGCGTGAGGCGTATTTCCACTCCGTGAATCCGAGTGATTCTCTCGATAGGGATTGCGGGGCCGGCTGGCTGCTGCTATTTAAAGAAAGCACGGAGCGGACAATTCGAGCACATTCGTAGCGCAGCCTTCGAGACGTGAACACGAACGAACCCCGAACCGAATCGGTCCGAGCCCCATACAGAGATCCGGAGTGAACAAGTGTAAATAAAAGTGCCACAGAGCATAATCGAGAATGTTGAATATGGAAAGTGCGAGTGTCGGTGCGTCCATGGCGGGTCTAAGCAAAACGCTGACAACGCCCTTCTCCATCAACGACATACTGACGCGCCACAATCCGGATAAGCATCGCGTGTCCAGCATGGACTCCGAACCGGAGGCAGATATCAGCGGCAAGAGCCGCAGCTCCAAGCTGAATCTTGATCGGGAACGATCTGCATCCAAGTCTCCGCCGCTTTGCTGCCGCGATCTGAGCATCTACAAGCAGGACCCAAACATGCCCAATCCCGGCCAGAGACAGACAAACTACCTGCAGTACTATGCGGCGGCAGCGGCGCTCGACAGCAACAATCATCACCACAATGGGCACAATCACCATCACCAGGCAACCGCCTCGGGCTCCAGCGGAGGGGACTACATGCAACGCAAATTGGCCTACTTTGGAGGCACCCTGTCCGCCCCGCTCGACATGCGGCGCTGCACCAGCAACGACTCCGGTAAGTCTGCCCCATTGTTCGCCCTAATGGAAACGCCAATTGTCCATTGTGGCAGCCGCGTGTGCCTGGTGCTAATTTCCCAACCATTTTCCGCCTGTTCCATTCACAGACTGCGACTCGCCGCCGCCGTTAAGCAGCTCACCCTCCGCCTCACCGCTCTCCCACGACGGCAGTGCCCTCAGCCGCAAGAAGCGGTCGCGTGCCGCCTTCAGCCATGCCCAGGTCTTCGAGCTGGAGCGTCGCTTTGCCCAGCAGCGCTACCTCTCCGGGCCGGAGCGCAGCGAAATGGCCAAGACACTGCGCCTGACCGAGACCCAGGTGAAGATCTGGTTCCAGAACCGGCGGTACAAGACAAAGCGCAAGCAGATCCAGCAGCACGAGGCCGCCATGCTGGGCGCCACAAAGCGAGTGCCCGTCCAGGTGCTGGTCCGAGAGGATGGCAGCACTACCTACGCACATTTGGCAACCGGTGCGAGCCACGGCCTGGATCCGGCGCTGATCAACATCTATCGCCATCAACTGCAACTGGCGTACGGAGGATTGCCATTGCCCCAGATGCAGATGCCCTTTCCCTACTTCTACCCGCATCCGAAGGTGCCACAGCCGATTCCACCACCAAGCCAGCCCTCAAGTTTCGTCAATGGCTCCTCGGCCTCGTCGTCGCCAGTGCCAGTGCCAGTGCGTCCTCAGCGCACCCCCTGCCCGAGTCCTGGCCAACTGATGGGCATGGAGAGTGGACCGGAGTCCGCGCCGGAGGATGTGGATGAGAACGTGGAGATCGACTAGATGGGATGGGCATTTGTGGGTTACGTTATTGTGATAGCTGTAGAAGTTGCGTTTTAGTCTCTATGTGTAACCAATAGATATCCGTGCATGCTCTTGGCATATAGCTTTAGTAGTCCTAAGTTTTAGTTGTATCTGAAAAAGTTAAATAAAAACGTAAATGAAAAGAAATTTGCACCTGATTGGATTGCCTATTACAAGCATTGAAATTAAAGGAGAAACTGCATCAATTCAGCGATTGGAAGCTTCACTTGAAAACTTTGTTTAACCATCTGTATGGATACATGGGTACTTGATCTGCTAGAAAATACATGGCAAGCTATCAGAATATAATAAAATGCAACCTAAAGTGACAGATTATTTCCATTTCTATGCTATTATTATTTTATAATAACAAAGTGATACCACATGACCTCATTTTGTATCAATCGGCAAGGGGTTTCTTGCACTGGGACTGACTCTTCAGAAATGACAGCGATCAAGCGGGTAAGGCCTCAAGAAGCATATCATTGAAGTGGAGTGGCCATGCGTGTGGCCAAAGTCTTGCGAAAAACGGTGATGACCGACTCTGGCGAGCACTCAATGTCGACATAGAAGTGCTTCAATGTGTCAGAAAGGACGGGACGGAACCGAACGGAACGAGCGCCGGGTCTGTGACCCACAAACCACTGACTTACATACGAGTGTTCGTACAATTTCTTGATTTCACACACTTTGGCATGCAGTTTTGCAAAAGATCAACGGATGCTCCGAGGAGGATGGGGTATAGCAGGAAGGGAAGCATAGACATGTCCTTAGCAGCACAGTTGGTGGCTGACGACAACAAGGACATGACTCAAGTGCTTGTCGGCGACAATTTTAACGGAGCGACGAGGCGATGTTTATAAACAAACAAACAAATAGAATCACAAACTGACGCCCAAAGATCGGGACGAGGCCGGAGCCAGCCAGGACGAATGCATTTGCCGGATCATTGATATGTGCACAACCACTTGAGAGGCAGCAGGAGCCGTTGTCTGTGTCCGAGAATGGAAACAATTCTGCTCATCTTACAAATTTCCAGCCATTTCCCTGATCTTCAGCCCATTAAGCACTCTTTCCCCCATCTCAGCCCTTCAGTGCCGATGGCTTTCTACATGTGCAAGTGGGGCATTGAACGTGCCAACTGGCGGCCTGTGGACTGGAGACTGCCAACTGAAAAAACAAAAATTCCCCAATGGGTGATCTCTCGCATTCTTCGTCTAAAAGGCCAGGCCATTGCCATTTGACAAATTTGGGACACTAAAACCGATTGACAGTTGTAATTACTTGTGTCAATAAGTAGTATTCCGGCTATAGATGCAGTGAATGTCTGTATTTCGCTACAAATTATCTTGTCATAATTCAGAGTTCAAGCTAAACTAAAGCCAGAGTATATACATACACAGATTCATCTGTGTATTATTCTATTACTTTCTGAGCTGTGGGGGTTTTGGTGGCAAATTAAAAACCAACCGAACAGTCTTATTTTCAGATGTGTATCAATTAATACCATACCCACGATATGTATGGCTTGTTGCTGCTAATTACTATTATTAAGATGAAAATTGCATGCCACATTTGTGGCTATATAAAAGCGATTTGGCCTTAAACATCACAGCCATTCGGCTAAAAGTTAAAAATGGATCGTCAATGTCCAGTGTGGATATGGCTGATACTGATCCTGCTGGATCTTGTTCACTTTTCGATTGAATTCAATTACGAATTTGTGATGCGGGATGAAGATGTATTAAGCGAGTGCCTGGATAAACCTCAAGGAGCTCTCAATGCCAATGGCCTGTTTGGATTTTCTGAAACTTCCTTTGTCATGAGCGACGATGGTATAAATTTATCTGGGAACATATCTACCGTGTGGGATGTCAACCCAAAAGATCGTGTTCAGGTGATGATACTCGTATTACTTGACATTGAATAAATCTGTTTCTAATTTACGAGCAATATTTCAGCTAAATTTAAATGTCCTATATTTCGACCGTGGTATTTGGCAGAGTACCATATTCAATATGGAGGTCAAAGATTTCTGCGCTGTAATGTACAATGAGAAACAATTTTGGTACAAACACTGGTCGAAATATATATCAAATGCCGAGCTAGTAAAGGATAAATGTGTGACAAACGCCGGGGTAATTATGCATACAAATCTTATACAATTGTGAACTCAACTTCTAATGGACGAACTTTATTTTATAGACTAAATTTCTGATGGAACCATATCTCCTAAGGATAACTCTTGGCTCGGACGTATATCTAAGGCCTGGACAATACAGGATTATATTGCATGCTCTTGCATTTGATAAGAAGAATGTAATGCGCACAAATCAGATTTGCCTTGAAATTAGGGGAGAATTTATACGTGCTTGAGGAATATCTTATACCTGATCCATCACTATTTACTATGCTCCCGACTATATAATATATTTTTCAAACTTTTATTTCTCGACTTGGGCGCTACAAATATCTGGGTCAGGCTCCTGATTAATATACAACCTATTGAAACGAGTTTTGCACAATTATATAATATCTGATAATTATGGTCAGATGGTCCAGCTGTTTTAAAACGGTATACAACCAATTGGGAGCAATTTGGGAGCCAGCAGTTAACTTTCAGATTTAATTAATACTAAAAATCGTTACAGCGAAGGTCTTGTTTGTCTTAATTACTATTATTAGGATTGATCTATGGCGCACTTTATACATGAAACCCATTCGAATTTTTAATGCAGAATGGAATTACTTAGTGCGGTACAGAAAACGTCTGAATTGGCTATATGTATCAATGCCCTGTATGATTTATCGGAGCCAGATTCAATGGGTAAGTAGATTGTAGTTTATATGGTTCCTTTATTAACGAATGGTATTTAATTATACAACATACATAGTAAAATTTAGTAACAAAGTATTTTGCTTTGTTCTAGCTGAAATATTTAAAAGTATTTATGATTATTAGTTGATCGGCAAACTCCTAGGTATGTATGTACATATCTCAATCACAGGCTTGTTATTGTTTTCTTATTTTGCTGCCATGAAGAACCGCCTCGAAAAATACTTAATCATGAGTTTACAGTTATATGTACATACATACCAAATGACTTGTACATAAGTCAACTTTTCTTTGACCCACCCCAAACCAATCAGCTACGAATTTTCACCCCCGTGTCAATCTGCTTGGTTCTCGCCAGTAGCGAGTGAGTGAGCAACAATGAGTAGGAACTCTATGTGGGAGTTTCAGTTTTATGGCACGCTTCAGATTTCGTACTATGTGTCTGAAGGGTTGAAGGCGCTACGCTACGCACACTGCATGTGGTCTGAATCTTTGGGGAGAAATATGTACTGCCTGTTGTTCGTCCTGCTCCTAGCGGCTTGGCCACTAATTTGTTTATATTGCCCTGGATTGCGCCTTCGGATTTGTTTATGCAACCTTTTTTATGACACACATATGTATGTATGTATGTATGAATGCCTGGCTGGCTGCTGCGAGGAGTACACGAACTGTCAGCTACTTGGCGGCAATCCTTTTAAAAGGGGCCGCCCTTTCGCTTGTTTGCCTTGTAATTAATATGGAAATTAGTCACGGTGGCAGCCATGGCCCGGGAGGGGCAAGTGGCGTATGCGCAATCTTTGAACTGCAATTAGTCGTCTGGCTATGGCCTGTCACCGAACCTACTCCGGAGCCTGCCCCTGATCCTAACCGACTGGGACACTGGGTAAACAATTTTAGCATTTTTCGCTATTTGCTTAAACATTTTTGGCGGACGGAAGGGGGGCGGGGGCTTGCATTCTTAAGCAGCCATTGGGCCGCTGAGAGCGCATTTAATGGCGAAATGTGAAATTCAAAAGCAAATGCAAAAACCGTTCCCCCCTCACCCGTCCAGACCACCGACCCCCGACAGCTTAAAGTGTAAACAAAATGCTCCAAATGTTCACTTATTATAAAATGCAGTGCATTCTTTTTTTGGGTGGGTCCATTTCGATGCACTTTGCTTTAGCGTTGTCTTCTCCCCGTCCTCCCATCGTCATTTCCACTCTTATTTGCCTCCATCTCCATCGATACCCGTGATCGCGGTCGACATCGACATCGACATCGACGTCTGCGTCTGCTGCACACATGTGCGCCATAAAAGGAAGCTGAGCATCAGGCCCGATGAGAATGAGGTTCGCTTCTCCTGCAACTGCGACTGCGACTGACACTTCGATTTGCAGCCAACAAGGGCCGGGGCCAGGGCCAGGGCTTGTTGTTGTTGCACGTGTTGCTCTGGTGGCGCGTTTGTTTATGCAACAGCCTTAGCCCTCCTAACAGTTCTTGGTAGGAATAACTTCACAACAAATTCATCAACTAAACTCCAATGTTGATACTCTGCTTGCTGCAGAGGTATTTGAGCTGTGAAATACAACTTGGAAGATACTTTCGAAACGGAAGAGAAAATATTTAGGGGTTCGATTTTCGAATAATTAAAGTGTGATCAGAAGTTGGTAAATTCTCAAAGCGCAGCGCAATCAAAAGTTATATATTTAAGGATGATGAAAACAATAAAATTATAGGGTATTCCCACATCGCCTCGGATTGCTGCAGGGCCGCATTCAACCTGACTTTGTTATTGAAGTTGTGCTCTTTGTTTTATGGGATGGGCTGGGAACTCCTAGCAAAGAAGGGGGGGGATGGGATTAGAGCAAACGACATTGCCTAATTGCTTTGTTGCTGGGGCGATGGGCGATGGGGGCTGGAGACGCTGTTGGTTTGGATCGCAGCGCATCGCTTTGGTTTTTGGTAGGTAAATGAAATGTTTCCCGCCCCTCTGTAAACAAAACACACAGCCAAAGTACAGTACGGGATGATGCGCTGGCCTGGCCTATTTATGTTTATTTTGTTTGAAAATTGTGCGTTTAATTTATAGTTAATTGTTGTTCAGCTTTTCATTAACCAACCAAACCGAGCAGTGACTGTGTGCGGTCCCCCGAATCTGTGAAATTCATGGGAATCCATCCCACAGAGCACACACACACACACGCACACGGACAGATGCCTATGAAATTATACCAATTGTTGATGATGGTGCTATTTGCGCAAGTTGTTGATGCCCCCAACGCAGGCAGGCAGTCAGCCATCCATCCCCTGACCGCCACCAAAATCAACGCCGTCCAATGGCACACTAACAGGTTCCTTCCCCGCACCGCACCTCGTTCCACCTTCACCCAGGCAAACAAAATGGCCACCCACCTCAATTTTGATTTAATTTTTTCATTTCCAACTCAATCTGTACGAAAAGTACGTACCGACCGACCGACCGACCCACCGACGGCAGCCAGCTGTGGAAATCTTTGCGCAATACTGGATCCGATCCAATCCGATCTGATCCGATCCGACTCGATCGTTCCCTTCCCGGTGGCCACTCCTTTGCTTATTTAGCTTCAAATAAAAAATCATTTAAATGATTTGGGGAGCGAAATGGCAGAGCATAGCCCGGCGTAGAAATTGAATGATAAATGTTTTGGTTTTTGTGATTTTGTTTATTGTTCAAATTTCGGCTAAAAAAATTTCAAATTTTACCGCATGTATAAAACGGTTTCAGCGCGTTCTTCTTCTCGTTTTATGGACAGCCATTCATATTGGCAAATGTTGAGTTGAGTCCAACAAGAAATAGCACTATCGAGAGTCTGTTTCGCGAGCTGTTTGGATGAAAATCTTGTGGTGCGGCTGGCCAAGACGGACGGACGGACACACATGTGTCCAAGTTTCCATCGCCCCTATCCCGTCATTGAGGCAACTTAATTAACGTTTTTAATGGACCTGCCGACTCGTAATGTTCGACAATTAAAATCGCATAGACAGCGCCCCAATGGCATCCACAACTTCTTGTACAGGCGTTAGATTGCTTGGCCCCGTGGGTCTTGAAAGTGACTGGATTGGGAGCGGGTGGGGGTGCTTATCAGTTGCCAGAGCGCTACTAATAGGTCGAACGGAAAACACTTGAAGATCTATTGATAAACAGTCACTTGGTACTCGTGGCATGTGAACTGTTGGGATTTGTTATTCTCCCCGGCAGCATTTGGCACGGCACCGAAAAGTGTTTTTGGATGAAAGGATGTTGAAAATAATAAAACAAACTGATCAATGTCGTGTAAAGTAAACACTTGCAATGAGTCAGATTTACCGACTGTAGACTGTAGACTGAGATAGAGTGCCGGAGCACCTCTGCAACGCACTTAGTCGTTAATCTTTTGTTTTTACAAATTTATTTGGACCGTCATAAAAGCGCTTAAATAGACTTTTATTTAAGTGTTCATTGGCTAGTGTAAACACTCTGCTCTGCTCTGCCCTGCCCTGCCCTGCCCATGACTATGACTCAAGAAAAGGTGTGGGTGCCAGGAGAATGTACAGTGAAAACAGAATATGTGAAATGCAACTGAGTTCTGGGCGTTAAAAGGGAAAAAAGCTAATTTTTAATTTATTCTAATCGATAGCTAACAACAACGAATGCAATCTAGTAATATAATAGGTACATATGTAAGGTTTGATTTTAAGATAAACATCAATTCAATGACCTCTTTGACCCCAAGTATAAGAAAAAAGCAATTGGCAATCCGATAATTGAATTCACTTGAATTTGAGTTAATGCATAAATCAACTTTAATTTGCTGGCAAAGAACTCTGTGAAGCACCCATGCCCCTCCACTCCTCCTCTGGTCGCCTCGTTAGCTTTTCGTCACTAAGTTGAGCAATTTAGATTTCAAATGAATTCCACCTACTTTTTCCTAGTGGCAGTTCTTTATCTCTTTTTCCCTTTTATTTTTTCATAATCATTATACCAGGAATTTCTTTGGTTGGCTTAGCATTTCTCCCCTGGCCCGGACAGGCCCACCCACCCCGACGCCTATCGGCCACACCCACTCCACTGTCGGCAGCTATTAGCAGCAATTTTCAATTTCCTTTCTGATGAAGCACATGGCAAGAGAGCAAATTACATGGCAGAGAAGATGCGACATTCACTTTTCTTTCTCTTGGGTTCTTTGGGTCCTCCTTTTTTTGCGCTTCAGCTTTTCTTCATCTTGCAGCTTCGTCCTGGCGCACACGTACGCAATTGTCCTGAGCGCTCGACTTCGATTCGAAAAGAACATTTTCTTGCAATTTCTGCTGCTGGGCGGTTGAGTGGGTCGACCTCAAGCCAGGCATCAGGCAGCAGGCAGCAGGCACCAGACCCCAAACCACCCAAACCCAGACGAAGACGGCGCAAATGAACGGCCATTATGTTTATCTGAAGTGAAAGCAACGGCTGAAGTGAATTTTTAACGAGCCAAAGACTGTCAGACGGTGGCCAGAAGAAGTTGCTCAGTGCGTTGCAGTGAGTTATCCTGGCTGCCAAGGACCTGCTTCAATAGAATAAGAAGAAAATTACACTTAA